GATCAAGTCGACGAAGTTCAATTAGTCTGTTTGTCTATTTCGTTACAAACTAATTTCTCAGTTTTTAAATATAACTTTGTACACATACTTACTTTGAGAGCGGACTCTGATCATTTGGCGGACTGGCGAGAATCGAAACTCTATATCTCACAGTTGTTATATAAACTGAACAATCGGATATGAATTTTCTTTATTTTTAATTAAGATATTCAAATGAATGCGATTCAGAATGGGAGAATAGACAACATTTTATTGATTTCGGTTCAGATTGAGATATAGTTGCCATATAAACTGCTGAGTCAGACAAAGGTTTTGTTAAAAAAAAAACATTTTTATTTTCTAATGTATGTACTTAAATCTTGAAACTTAAGCATATTTTATTAAACGATTTTATTAACAATCGAAAAATCTATTTAAACTGAATATAATTTTTAATTCAACGAAAGCTCCTTTAACATGAATAGCTTACCATGAGCTTATGTATGAACAAAACATTTATAGCTGTCCTCATTGTTATTGTGTTGTTAAATATATTATTTATTATATTCTATATATGTTATTATAACATAATATATATATATATTTACTATCATTCTAATGGAACCTCAATGTAGATTAAAAATTCTGTATAAAAGTACCTAAGCTTCGCCAAAGCCAAAGCTAACTTCTTTACTTATTTAATATTAAGTTTATTTTATATTTTATACCTAATCAGTTTAAACCGCATTTCAATATATTTTTATAAAAAATTTAACCATATGTTATATAGTGAATAATCACAACTGATAATGAAATTATAAAAAGTTACCACTTTTAACGAAAAATTTTGCATTAAACGAAGAACCTCGTAGAGCTTGGTCTCGTAGGCAATCATAATTCATTTTATGGATAAATTATTCGTTGTTACTGGACAATAGCATAGAGCATAGTGGCTAGGCCTAACATATTATGTCTTACAATCGGTTGGTCTCGTATGCAAACATAATTTATTTTATGGATAAACTATTCATTGTTGTTGGACAATAGCATAGAGCATAGTGGCTAGGCCTAATATTATGTCTTACAATCGGTTGCTCTTCGACGTTGATCTCTCCTTAAAGTTGTTCGGTAAAACGAAGTCAGTCACTCGCTTTCGTCTAATCTGTACTTACGCGATATTCAAATGTAAAAGACTAACACTGGACATTTCAAGTTCAAATGCAGAACTGCATAGATGAATAGATGAAGCAATATTTTTTTACTCGTAGTAAACTTGGTGAAAAAGTGACGTTTATATTGTGAAGTTCAAGTAGTGAAGAAAAGTTTTTTGACATTCATCATTTGTGAAAATAAGTCAGTAAAAAAAAAAGGCAATGGAGTTGTTTGCGTAAGTCGTTAAATTTTTAAAAGAAAAATTTTGTCTTATTTCGCTTATAATTTTATCCATCTTTCAACGATAAAAGATGGAAAACTTTTGTTTTTCATTTTCGACACGCATTATTAAACAATTTATGGTTTTTTCTTGTATTGTTTTTGTTTTTGTTTTTGTCGCTGCTGACAATATTGGATTCGAATTATAAAACGAAGAGGAGTTTAAACTGAGGAAAAAGTTCAGTAACTTTTCGATTTTCTGAACTCTTACTCATGCACGTATTTATAAATTTTATTTTTATTTATCTGTGGAGTGAAATAATGTCTTTCTTTAACTACTTTCAAATTTATTATTTGTAATTTTTTTTTTATGTTTCCGTGTGCAATTTAAATTGCTAAATCTTTATTGTACTATTACCACAATACTTAAAAAATTATAAATCAAAGTTTATGTCCTCATCATCGTCAATATCGAACCTTTGATAAAGACTTTATTCACCTCATACTCATAAAATTATGGTATATTTTACACAACATTATGAGTTCGCCATTGTTTCATATGAAAATGGCATAATGAAAATGGCTTATAGCCTTCAATGTGCTCGAGAAAATATAAAAATAATTTAATGTTATTATTTCTCATATGACTTTGAAATTTTCTTAATGTCATGAATAATTGCATTTAACTTCTCTTAATTTGTGCTTAATAATGTAAACACAATATTAGCTTAATTATGAATGCAGAATATATTTATTTATTAACCATTTATATATAACTATTTCACAATAGAATTGCGTTGTACGCTTCGTTGCACATTAAATAAAAAGGTTTGTTTTTAATTTATTTTCACAATAAATAACTACTTAATTGCATTACCGTTTGTACCTTCTGCTCAAAAAGTACCCGGATTTTGGAAATAAAACAAATTTAAATTTTATTCCAAATTTATTTTATCTCCTTCTGAAGCCAACTCTTAACCCAATCTTCCATACACTTTTCGTAAGCCCGTGAAGGTATGGCTTTTAGTTCCTTCAGCGAATTCTCTTTTACCGATTCAATCGACTCAAAATGCTTACCAAGAAGGGGCAATTTGATTTTCGGGAACAGGAAGAAGTCGCACGGCGCCAGATCTGGCGAATATGGTGTCTGAGCGATGGCAGTGGTGCCGTGTTTGGTCAAAAAATCGCGTACAACAAGAATTTTCCATAGTAAAAATCGCTAAATGCACTTGAGGTAGTCTCACATTAACAGCTGCTGTAACCAAACTAATTGACAGATGGTCCTCAAATTTGTACCATATGTCAAGAAAGGGTGTCTATTACTTAAGGAGTAGTTAACAAACAACAAAATCCGTATACTTTTGAGCAGAAGGTATATTAATTTTCTCTGCGGTCCTTCAACAATGGCCTTAAGGATTCAAACGACGATGTCAGTCAGATATATCAAGCCCAGACAGGTTACACAGTACTTGTTGGTAATGTTGCTGATTTTTTTTTACTGAAATGCCTTCTTCTGTTCGCACAACAAATTCTAGCCAGTGTAGACGTTTAATCTATAAGCATTTGACTATATTATTGTGTCTTAGTATAGCACATACAGCACATCTTTCTATAAAGTTACGCTATTCTCCATTAATATAGAGAAACCTACTGATTTTCTGACTTTTTTTTACTGAAATGCCTTCTTCCGTTCGCACAACAAATTCTAGCCAGTGTAGACGTTTAATCTATAAGCATTTGACTATATTAATATGTCTTAATATAGCACATACAGCACATCTTTCTATAAAGTTACGCTATTCTCCATTAATATAGAGAGGCCTAATAGTGATTTTGTACAGAATTTCAAAAGCATTTGTCGTTGATCTTTATCGAGTAAAATGAGTGACCTATATAGCGTTGTTTTTGAGTACCAACTTAGACTTGCTTTCTTGATTGCGGTAGTAACATCATTTGGCAACGGTAAAATTTTACAAGACAAGTTTAATCGACAAGACAAGTTTTGATTTAATTCTTCGCTTAGTCTTGTGGCTGGTATTATTGCTGGTTTATTGTAAGGTATAACCTAAAATCTGTAAATATCGATGGTGATGTGGAGTCAAAATAACTTAATAAATATAACTGCCCAATTAAAATAAATATTAAGGTGCATGTAAATTATAAATACTTAGAAAGAAATAAGACATCTAATTTAGCTATTCCAAAGGCTAAACATTATCCGTTCAGCTATATATTATATTCAATGGTCGCATTATAAACACAAAGTTTTGCTAATATCTATCCTATTCTATGCTATTGTATTCTATACTATTTTCATATAGTACTTCATATATTACCTTCATTTTTGTTCTACTGTAAACATTAGCAATATCTATATAATAATTCATTATACTATATGCGTAAAAACTTCCACAGTGTATATCGGATTGCTGGAACGGCTGATTGATGCCTCTTATTATCGACGGCCACGTATGCCGCTGACAATTCCCGTCGAAAGTTTACCGTTCATAAGAAAAGCAAACCTAGCAGTCATATCTAGAATGGGAGTAGCAAACAAAAGAGATTGTATTTCTTATGGCTACTAAACAAAAATAACAAATCCTCTGTTATTATTATTAGCATTAATACTGTGATGTAGATAAAGATTGAAGTTCCATGAGTTTTAGAAACGTCTGATTGTATCACTTTTCCCTAGAATGTCGACGGATAATAAACGTAGTCCAATAATCTTCGATTTGAATAAAATATAGTAAAGAGAAACTAAATTTTAAATTTGATTTAAATCTTAAAAGTTTAAAAATATCTTAAAAATCTTTGTAGGTGTTGCAAATTTTTTATCATTAAATATTTTTCGTTCACTGCAGCTTTAATTAGATATAAAAGAGTTATCTTTGTTTTCATACCTACAAAAATATTTTTTAAAAAAATATTATGCAAATTTGCTATTGTATCTTATATTTAATATATAAATATTTCTTGTTTTAATTTTGATAAAATAACGTAAAAATAATATTAACATTTATTCAGTGTTTTCATAGTCTTATATAGAATTTATATCAGTATGATTTGTTTAGCTAAATAAATCTGTTTTAATCCTAATCAAGTACTGTACAAAAACACCTGTTATTCTGTATTTTTAATGCAATTTTTTGACAAATTTTCAATCATGTATAGCTGATTGAAGAATTGAGCATTTGACCATAAAAATATTACCGATTTGTTGGAGATGTTGTGCCTACTCAGACCTTTTTCAGACTCAAAAAGTGCAGAATATAGATATGCAAATAATAAATATAGATGTGGTATTTAAGATGCGATTAAAACACTAGACTCTATTAAATAAAGCTATGATTGCATTAATTAAACCAAGCACACTCTACGAAGTATCCTTGTTGCGGATACAAAGTTCCTCAATTTATTTGAGAGTAACTATTATTTTGTGAACATTGTTTACTCTAAGTACTATTAAGTGCCACTGAAAATGCTTTTAAAATAATTCACTCGATATGGAAATTAGTCTTTTGCTTAAGTTTTACCAAAATTTAAATATGTTATTATAAATCTTAAATATTATTTAAATATTTTTATAATAATTCACAGTACAAAAAGAACAAAATTGTTAGTTTTTTTATAATTTGTTTATTGATGAATTAATTAATTTAAGCACATGTAAATAATTTAGTAGTGTATAGATGACTTTATACTATATTCTTAAAGAATTTGTGAACTAATGTAGTTGGCGCATTTGTCAAAACCATAACTTTGCCTGCATCTTCCAGTTCTTCATCCTCATTATAATTGTCAAAATGGATGTCCTGAGAGAAATCTACTATCTTGACTTCTTCACAAAACTTCTTAAATTTAGTTTTCAAACAGCATAGCATAAAAACACATTGTAAAATTTTATATAAGACGATGTAAAATATATAGAAATTTTGTAAGAGGTGTGTCCTTTGATTGTAGTCATGAACCAGTAGTGGTACAATTGAATGCGCTATGACGTACGGCACGACACATAGAATTAAATATTGTTGCCTCAACAATACGAAACTTTTTCTAAAGAAGAGCTCATAATGCTCCTCAAAAATGGAAACCACTCCTACGAGCGTAAAAGCAGTCATAAATACCTTCCAAGATATAAATATTAAAGGTTCCGGTATTACATTGAGTGGCACAATAAAAATATCGTACCAAAAATTAAAAACCTCAGCTATTGAATCTCTGGACAATGTCAAGACAGTAGTACAGAAATGGAGAGCAATAAAAATATCAAACGCAGTATTTCGTCCAAACAGAGTTATTTCGATCAAAAGTTGTAGCTTCTCATATCCCACGAGCAGTACAATGATGAAACCATATATATACTTCTTCAAAATTCTACTTACAAAAAAGGCGATAATATCAATAAATCCTCCTATTAGAAAAGGTCCACACAATGAGATTACAGCTATTAGATAAAGTCCAAATATTCGACAATATAAAAAGGGAATGCTATCGCAATTGGGTACATTTTTTGGTGTTTTAATCCTAGCTTGAGCAAAAAAAAAGTGATGCAAGAAATTCTCCACATCCGCATTAACCGATTTTGGTAGTAAGTAGTCCTGCAAACCGAAGAGTTTAAGAGAATATTTGCTCCATATGTACATCATTGACCTTAGGCTCCCATAGGAGACCAATAATTGGTGTATAAACGGAATCTAGTATATAGAAATATTTAATTTCTAATAAGATTTTTTAAATAATAATTAATTAAGACTTTTACCAAAGACGCCTTTTTATACCACTCTAAGTCGCCGCTTGAAAATATCAGCAATGCTTTCGCTGGCACACCAAATTGCAAAACACCAAGGAAGAAGTTAAACGAAAGTACACGGACAAATTGAAGTGCGATCTTTAATATAGAGCCTCTTTCAAAATCCTGTAAGAATCGGTTACTCAAATAATATTTATTTCGAATTAATAGAAATAAAATCAAACTCTTACCTTTTTAAAAGACATCTTTCGAGCATCAAACCATATTAGTTTTTTCAGTAAACTATTATGAATGATGCGCCTTAGTTGAAGTAATAAGATATGAGAAAAACATGCAAAAACAGCTCCCACAATCCAATAAAAAATTATAGATTGTATTGGGTTCGCGTTGTGCCAAGCATAGATACCATCGAAACTCTTACTATAGAACGGCAAGCTGCACACATCCAACCAAAAGCCAATTGATAACGGCAATGCAAAAAACACCATTAGATAGCAGAAAAGAGATTTGATGATTAAATGAGTATATTTCAGCAAATCAAAGCTTAGCAGATGTAGAATTTCAAGTATGCAGATGATTACGAAATAACCAAATAAAGTAATCATAATTGCTGTAAGGATGTTCGCTCCTTCGGCTAAGTTCACTACATGGACACCACTCAATATGATATAACCGATTAGAAATGGAAAGCAAATAAGTAAATTCATAACAAATATGTTGACAGCAAAATAAATTAAGCTTGTTTCTCCAGAACTAGAATGTTCCTGTTTTAAGAGTAAAATATTTCTCCGAAATATTTCCCTGTCTGGAAGTCCATCTATTTTTTCGATTGCTTCCATAGTCGCATATATTAATAATATTATCAATATGCTCGCAATAATTGTGATTGGTATTCCAAAAAGTGCTTCCAACACAATACAGATTTCCCTCGGTGGCTTTTTGACAAAAATGTTCTCAAAAAGCAATTCATATATGCGATAGGTTTGTGCTAATAAAAGAATCCGCATAAGAGTTATGCTGATCATATAGATGGCAGACTGAATCTTGCTTAAGAACAAGCATAATAAACGGAATAATGCAACACACACTATTAAAAGTGGGCTGGAAAATTTCCGAAAAGTCAGACGTATCTTGTAGTTGTACTTGCATAACTCGCAACATAATTTTCGTGAACTCTTCAACCAACTCTTTAGGCAGTACTCATGAACGGATTTCATAGTTCCCGAACATTTGCATGGCATGCTCAACTCCTCATACTCGCTGCCACCATAACAAATTCGGCAAAATTTTTCGGATATATTAGACATTTTTACTTCCTTTCTTTTTTAAAAACCTTCATATATAGATATATATAAAACAGAATGTATATAATTAAATTATCCAAATACTTACTTACTTCTGTTTAGCGTACTTTAAAATTTTCAGATAACTCGACTTGAACAAGACTTTTATATAAAAAACAGAGATAATTTCAATACTTTCTAAGAAGTGAACTATTATTTTCTTCACAAATATAAGAACAACTAATATAGCAGTTATTTGTTGACAATTACTTTTAAAAATTTCGAATTTGGAAAGTTATTTTCATTTTAAAATGTAAACCAAAGCATGCTTTTCTCATAACCTTTAATCTAAAGCCCAAGGTTGTATGTTAACACAACTTTCCACATAGATTACTTGCAATCAAAATAGTTAATTGATTAGTTCTAGAAGCAATAGTGTTTACATTGCAGCACAATTTGATGCTCATTAACATCACATCAGTTCAAGTTTCAACTTTAAGCTGAGCTTATTCGCAGAATCATACAGCAATTCTCTTATGATATTGCAATATTGATGAATACTACAGCGAATGACAAATCGGAAGGTTAACATATAGAAGTCGCCTCTATCGAAAAACCATATGTTTCTTTAGAAAGTATGTAGCTTTAAACAATCACATTAAAAAGTTTATTACAACTTATCTCTCAGTTTATAATTAGAGTGATTTGGTTTTCTTACTTTTAAAACAATGGATTCAAAGGATTTCTTTACTAAATTAGTATTGCTTTAACAGGAAAAGGTTCTTTTCAAACCAATGTTTAATGCTTTCGAACTGTGCTCCATTCCAAGCAACGATTAGTCGTTAGTTTTCAGACTGGTAAGGTTATGGTATTCGTAATTTGGGAATCACGTCCTATAATATTCATTGACTACCTTTAAAAGAGAAAAAGTTAATCGCGAATATTTTGTATACACAATTATTGGAATGTCTAAAAGACAAGATCGCGAAAAAATGTCCCTAATCCATCGTAGTTGCCAATTTTAGGCACTAACGACTACTTCCTGTTCGCAGACTTAGAAAAAAGTTCCAGAGAGAAATATATTTGTATAACGAATAAAAAATCTCCAGATATAAATGCGCGAATGGGTCCCTAAAATAGGAAACAGTCTAGCGATCTTTTCTTCAACGATTGTTGCCACAGCAGTAAGGAAGATGTCGAAAATGTTTCACATTTGCTTTGTTATTGTCCTATGTAGATTAAGTATGTTAGACAAAAAAAAGAAATTGTCTAAAGTATGGATTAAATTGGTGGCGATTTGAACAAAAACTTCAGTCAATCAATAACAATAGAATAGAAATAGAAAATCATGAAGTTTGGCTTAGAACTGGATAGTATTTGATAATATAGCTTCGCTTCATCCTTTTTAACAGTAACGAGGTATAAACTCTTCTAAATTTTGTAGTTTTCATGACGAGATTACAATATACAAAGAACATGTGAAATAGGCATCGCAACCTCGATAATATATAGTTAGTATACTTCTAGACTTATAGTATACTTCTAGCTATAGTTGCTGTATTGTAATGATAATTACAGTACAATTATCTAATTGCCAAATTTCGTTAAATTGAGATCATGTAAACGAACTTAAGTTTTAAATATTAAACCCTAAACCCTGCTTGATTGAATTAAAATTCCAAATGGTTATAAGTATTTTAAAGTTCTTAGCGATTTTTTACTTTTAAAAAGATAGATGTGTATTTACTTTTTCTTAATTATATAAAGACTTGTTATAAATAAATTTATATTGTGAATAAATTCGATATCAAGAAACTAACAAGAGAGAGACAACAAGTAGTAAAGTCCAATGCACTATCCATGTAGAACCCATGGAAACTATAGAATGTCATGATTCGAAATCATAGGTAGAGTTGTGTTAACAACGCTTCACTGTATGGTCCTACAATTTATTGAAAAACAATAAATAAATGTTTGAATAGCAACAGTAAACAGTAAAGAATTATGTTATTAATTGTTGGCAATATGTAATGCCTAGAAACCAAAACTACAATACAATATCTAATATAAAATCCATAAATAACCTAAGCAACATGTGCACCAACCAATTTGCTTTCGAAATTGTTATCAGTTTATCACTCTGCCATCGAATTAATAGCGCATATATCTGGTGTAGAAACATAAACAGAGTGTGGACAATTAAATTTTATCTTATCATTTGTACTTGTGCTAAATGCTGCTGGTGATAACAGCATCTCATTGTAATTTATCGCAGAAACGAACCTAATCTTCCGTCAATATAATCCGCGATATATACACATTTTTTTGAATGTTTTACAAATGCAAATATTAACACATCGTAGACTATTTGTGTTGTATGTATTATCTCTTACACTTTATATTTTTTATACATTATATATAGAAATATATTTTTTTAATATATATTTTATTTTCGCTTTAAATTACAGATTTTCAAAAATGTCAAAATACTCCGGTAAAAAATGTCGTCTACTTTCGATGATGTGGCTGACGGCATTCTTCTTCTTTGTGGAAATCGTTGTCGGGTATGTGACTAACTCCATGGCATTAGTGGCTGACAGTTTTCACATGTTGGGTGATATCGCAGCATTAGTTATATCATTTTTATCAGTTAAGGTGAGTAGCTCTGCATTTATGTTATATTTAAGGGGATCAAAATCATGTCACAAAAAAAATAATTATTGTAATTATTAATATTTTTTATCACCGTTATCAACATTTAATTTAACACTCCTTTTGACTGTTTTTATTATAAATTAAATTTTTTTTTAATTTTTTTATTAATTTTTTCTATAAATTTTTTTCGAATTTTAAAAAACCAAATGATTTCATGTGATTAGTTCGTAGTCTTTTGGTTGATCTCTTTGTCACAATTTGGACGGGCTTAATAAGGCATTTACCCAAAATCGTGTGCAGAGATTTAATCATATTGAAACAAATGAAAGAATGGGTACTTTATGCCAGATCCCCGATAGATCAAAGCTTAAGCACAAAGAAAACGAACGAACGGTAGAATGAACTCATTAAAGGGTTATTATAATTACATTGTGTGTTTAGACATAATAGCTGTAGTAAAAAGAAATCCATTTTTTTTTGCTAAAACTAAAGGCTTATTTATTTAATGATCCGATTTAGGATCCATTATACCACTCTTTTATAGAAGTCATCGTCCCTATTGGTAAAAAATCGATACAGTCGATACTGTAGCTATAATTTATTAAAAAAAATTAAGGTTAAAAGCACTTCCATTTTGAAGTGTGTCATCATAACAAAAGGAGTAAAATTAACGTGTTTTTTTGAGAAGTTTATATATAATTTATAAGGTATGTGCGCAATAAAAGCGCATAACTAAATTAAGTATCAATAAAACGAAATTGTAGAATTGAACAATAAAAATTTGTTTATTATATTTTTAATTTCATTTGCAACAAAATTTATCATTTTATTTGCAATAAATTCCAGATGTCGCCAAAGAAATGGTCAAAAAACACATTTGGTTGGGCCCGAGCCGAAGTATTGGGGGCACTTGTAAACGCTGTGTTTTTAGTGGCTTTGTGCTTCAGCATAACAATAGAAGCATGTAAAAGGTACTTGCAAAATATTATATTTAAGTTATTCTATTTATTTATTTTAATTAATATTTTAGATTTATAGAAGAAGAAACTATACATGAACCTGAGTTGCTTGTTATAGTTGGCACGCTGGGGTTGCTGGTGAATGTGATAGGATTGTGTTTACTTTATGGTATGTATTTAATAATATTATTTACCTATATACCTATAGTGCGTTCTAATTGCTTTGATTTACAATAGAACATGGTGGTGCTCATGGACACTCACATGGTGGAGGTCTTACACGTAATCACAGTCGCCTTACCGAACTAGCCAATGTTGAAGACGATGATGGAGAGAACAAAGATTTTGCGTATGAGAAACAAGTAAGCTTGATGTTTAATACTAAAATTGTATTAAACTGAAATGTATATAATTGTTTTTTATTCTTTTTTTTGTTGTGAACAGAAAGAGAAACCAGTGAAAAAAGCTGGACACGGGCATAGTCACGACCCTGGCCAAATGAATATGCGTGGAGCCTTTTTACATGTTTTAAGTGATGCCTTAGGCAGTATTATAGTTGTTATTAGCGCTTTGGTATGTTTTCTATAACATTCTATAATTATAGTATAAATGAATAAAAACAATTAAAAATGTCTATTCATTTTCTTAAATAGATTGTGTGGAAAACAGAGTGGAAATATCGTTATTATATGGATCCAGCTTTATCAATTGTATTAGTTGCATTAATTTTACATTCTGTATGGCCACTTTTACGTGAGTCTGCTCTTATTCTATTACAAACGGTGCCAACACATATACAAGTACGTTATTACAATAGATTTTTTAGTATAAATATATAAATGTTTGTTTCTACCCCAAATTTCAAGGTTGATGCCATCCAAAAACGACTCTTAGAAAAAGTGGATGGTGTCTTGGCAGTACATGAATTTCATGTGTGGCAATTAGCCGGTGATCGTATCATTGCTTCTGCGCATATAAGGTAAAAACTACTATAATAATTATTATTTTAACATTTAAAATGTGTATATAAAAGTTTTCTGCAGCAAATAATAATATATGTGTGTTTTTAGTGCAGTTATCTACCACTTTTTTATTACTATTTTTTATATTTTTTTCACTTTTTTAGTGCAATTAGTTTGCAATTTAACATCTATATTTAAACAAAGTTTAAAGTTTATCTATTAGATGAAGCCAAATATCGACTAGGCTGAAGTTAGTGTGGACTTCTCAATACATAAAGGCGTAGATATATAGGGTGTAGATATATAATTGAAAACTAAGCTGAGTTCAGGCGTAGATATTATCATATTTTGATTTGGTGAAACCAGAAATTTTTTAAAAAATTTGTGGTAAATAGGTTTATAGGAAGCAATTTACTATTCAGTACGTGGCATTACGGAGACAGTGTGGAGAGTAAAATTTAGATTGTAATCATACATAAATAAAGTGCAATGCATTGTATTGTAATTACCTATTTAAATAAGATCGATTCAATTTATATAATGGTGAAAATAGACTCATGCAAAATTCTCATAACATTTATTATTAAAAAAAATAATGGAATTCCTTTTTATTTTCAGATGTCGTAACCTATCAGAATATATGAAAATTGCAGAAAAGGTCAAAGAATTCTTCCATAATGAAGGGATACATTCAACTACTATACAGCCAGAGTTTGTTGAAATAGAAGGATGTAACATGTCTGATGGTACATCGAGTCTTAATATGAGTGGTTCCGATTGTTGTGCATTAGATTGCCCTACTACTGAAGAGGGTTGCGTAAAAGCTACGTGTTGTCAAAACAATAATAAATTGGTAAGTATAAATAAAACTTCTTCTTTTTAAACGATTATATATACTAATCTGATTTAACGATTAATAGAACCAATTGCCATCGCCAACTAGTTCACCATACATGTGTCGCCAAAGAAACTCTACTAGAAATAACGCTGCAAATGATGTAGAAGCTGGTAAGCAAATAATATTATTAACCATAAATTCATAGAACTACATTAATCTGTGAAAAATTGTTAAAGGCTCACTGTTGGAATCTGTAACTACTGGAACAAATTCGATTAGTAATAATACAGCTACAACCATGTCAGTTGTGAATACCAATAGTGAAGTAGTCTGACAACATCCAACAGAAGTACAATATCAACAACAGGCAGATACACCAACCCAATATCAAGAACAAAAAGTAAATTTTTCCCCACCACGAGCAGTACTTTCACCCAAATCAACAAACAACATATATGAGCAAAAATCAACGAAATCAGCAACAAATGTAACAAATAACAATTCTAAAATAGCTACAAGCTGCCCAATTAATTTTAATCGGATTCCAAGATGTGATTCACCCAATGATAATAGAAATTTATCTATCACTGCTCATAGGCGTAATATATTACTATCTGAACAGCAAGCGCAAGATAAAGTAGAGTTGGATGATTGTACTCGAAATGGTGATGAAGTGGCGCTTTAAAATTGTTTTTAACTACGCTTGTTGTGTTGTTTTATGTTAAAGTTAGATTGAAATTGATAAGTAAAACCCATTTAATTTAATATGTAATGCTTTTTAGTAAATAAATTTTATTTTAATATTGTACATCATTTAAAGCATATTTAACTGATTTAACTAATTTTTTTTAAATTAATTAAAGAGAACAAAGAGCTATTGACTTTGAAATGCTATATACAAACTATATTTGTATCGGTTACCGATGATGATCAAAAATGTTTATTACAAGGAATATTTCTTTTTATATTTTTGGTTAAGTTTTGAGTATAAGACCAAATATGTTATATATGAAGTATATTATATAAAAATAAAATAGAAAAAATTAATTGAAAAATTCCACTTAAATAATAGAATTAAAGTTTAATTAGTAAAAATTTAATAAATTAAATAAAAAATTTTGTATTCATGCAAATTAATTGCATTTTTTATGTCTTTATTAATAGACTAGTGACTTAAGATATGGTAATTTTTCATATATGAAAACTTAAATTAAGTTCATAAGAGTTTACTGTTTAACTTTTATATTGTAGAAGAAAAGAAATATATTTAATATCAATTTAAAATAAGTTTAGCAAATGTTGTATATTGTATTCAAATGCTTAATTTATATATATATACAAATGTATTTAAGTATACATGTAGATAAGTATTTTGATTAAATAATAAAGACGTCTAAAAAAATTTATTTACTTTAGTAGCGTTAAGTTTAGAAATAAATTTTTTAATATAATTGTATAAAATACCTCATACATTATCATTATCCAAAAAAATGGAATAAAATGAAAGATAATATTCATATAGCAAATTTATAGAAATGCAATCGAAAAAAAGCATAAATACATTGTTAACCTTAAAATGAAACATAAAATAAAATTGTTTACTTAAGCAAAATTATGTACTGTTTATTATTTTATAAAACTTCTCGAGTAGTTTTAGTAACAGTATTGAATTTTCTCATTACATTAATATCACTAAAGTATTCAAAATCATTTTATAAATATCATTATCCTTATCATGAATATGAGGAATGATCATTTTACTTGTAATGAACCTATTCATCCCGTTGATAACTGGGATAACTCATGGCTGCCAGGGGATGTTACCAAACTAACTTTTATATACTTGTAACTCTTGAGGCAAATCGCAAAAAAGTACACTGTAAGATTTTTATTAATTTAGTTATTTTATTTAAAATATAATAAATTTTTATAACATTTTTCACACATTAAATAACTGAATATTTTAATTTAAAATGAATTGGCACTGTTTATGGTGTGTGTTAACTGGCCTTTGTTGTGTTGTTTAATCACGTTTTGTGTTTTGTATTTAAAAAAAATAATATATTATTATACTCAAAGTGAAGATAATAAAGGAATAACAGTTACTTCTTTATTTAATTAATTATTTCGCCTAATACATTGTACTTATATACCTAAAAACTGACGACATAAGCAATTTGTGCCTTCTGCCGAAATCATCATAGTCATCTTAATACTTTTACTGTTTTATATCATAACTAAAAACATAATTAAAGAATAAAACTACTACACATATTCCTCTTATTTAGTTACGATTTTAAACTTTTTATCTCATTCACCGCACTAAATTGTACAAATTGCTATCTCATTTGCAAATAAAAAATTATTTAAAATTTACAACAAAATATTGACGGAATAAAGTAAAACTAATTTAATATATTTAAAAAGTAATACAAAATTATCGACAATATTATTATTTTATAGTTAGACTATAATCTTTGTTCAATAGTACACTCAACATTTTCTTCCACAATCGCTTCATCCCAAGGTCCATGTATATTATTTTTATAGCGTTGTAGTGTGACAAATATCGAAGGACAAATGAAATTAATAAATAAGCTTATTATTAGATAAGTATAAAATATTACTTTAGAAATATAATACAGAAAGTAACAACAATTAAGAAATATTGGCAGAAAAAAGTACCAACGCCAGCAGCGTGTTGTTAGCATAGGATATAAAACGAATATAATTGCGGCTTCGACTAATAACACAAATGCATGGTATGAAGTAGACAGCCGAGAAGCTAAACAGATTGCACCAAATATTGCTGCATTCACTGATATAGCTTTAGATACCATCGCAACAGAGAGTCCATAATCGTAAAATACCAAATTTAACATCATCACAAAAGTTGTAGTTATAAAAATAGTATCGGTACTAATAGCTTCAGTAAGTGTGTGCAGTAAGGGTGCAAAAATATAACCAAATAATAATACAGTTAATAGGGTTTTTGAATCTTCAATAATCATATCTACACTGAGCGTTTTACCACGGTATAGCAAATATCCAATCGTTGTTGCTATGACACTTGGTACAAATAATGTTGTCGGTGCAGCAGCGTCATTGTTTAGTATATAAAATATTATAAGAAATCCAGTTATGGAGGAAATTTGGTTGTTTACTATTGTTATTCCACATATTGCTTCTTGAAATGTAAAAAATCGTACATTTAAATTTGTTCGTAAATCCTTCAGAAAACTAGGATCGGTATAATTGTCTTCATAGTCCGTATTCTCATATAAATTTTTACGCCAAGGTTTACGCTAATTTAAAAAAGAAAAAGAATTTAACAAACTTTTTTGTTGAATGAAAAACATACTTGGAAAGACTTTGGTAATATTTTCCTATTAAAAGTTCCATTATTTTTCGATGACATATTAAAACCACTTAATCATTAATACATTATTATTTTCTATAAACAATTTTAAAATATGAAAACAATTTGAATTCGCAAATAACTCCAGTTAAACAAGTTAAACAAGTCGTTTAAAGAGCAGAAACGTTTTTACAGCAGCTGATCAATGTATTCACACAGATGTTGTATTTGACAGTCTATTGTGAACAGTACCAGCAGAATTATAGTACGTCTACACTTCATAATGAAGCGAAACTAGAAATAAAAAAGAATAGCAAATATCACAAAATTGTTTAAAGTTAAGAATTACATTTAATTAATTTAAATCAATAAAAATGGACAATAACTGAAACCTATTTCTATAATTAAGGGCAAACGAAATAATATTTGCCAGAAAAAAATAAGAAGATTGTAGTTAGTAAAGGGATTGGGGTAGGTTCAAAACTGTAATAAGATTCTAAATCTTATAGACTCTACGATCTATATCGTAATGTTGTCAATTCTAGAGTAGAATCATAGAAAAAATGTAAACTTATTGTTTTAAGTGAAATGAAAGTATAGCGACTGTATCACGATTTAAGGGCTTAGGGTAGTGTAGAGGAGCCATGAGTTTGGATGGAGTATCTTTTAATAAGGGAAAGAAAGAAAACAATTTATTATAGTAAATGAAAATGATCCTATAGTGACTGTTGGAAACACGCTCATATAAACGCAGCAACCCTCTACCTATATTTGCAGTGGAATATCTTTAATTAACAAAAATTGTGTTTCAGCAAACGATAGTCTGATCAATTTACCCAGGATATAATAATGCTTAATGCACGACTAAACTATATTCTCTTGTTGTAGCAAGCAGTTGACGACTCTCAGTATATTTCAATTGTATGGAATACGACTTTATTCCGACTGTAACTTTATTGTGTATTAGGTAGATAATTACGATGAACAAACAATTGATTGGGTTCAATGTGAATATAAATGCAAAATAAAAGTGAAATGTAATTATGAAAAATGCCATTATCAATGCGATTGATAATGCAAATATGAAATAAATGGCGACAATAAATGAAAACATGGATTCATAAGCACACATGGAAGCAATCATTTATAAACAAAGAAATAGCTTATAATAAACGATAGCAACGAATTGTCAAACAATGATTTGGATCTGCTTTGCTCAAACAGTATGGATCATAAATCAAAAGAAATGGAAATGTATTATATTTGTCAGCTGTTGATTTGATTACAAAATGTTACAGAACAAATAAACGCTTATTAATAACAAAGCGTAATCTATTATAAGCCATTTTAGTTCATATCTGATATAAGTTTGGAATTTATTTTAAGAAAATCTATTACTTAAAAGACAAACGATTTTCATAAACATATAAGGGCTTCTCACAAGATATTTTTTAAGTCATATACCGGGGTCACACCAGAGTTTTGTTTATAATTTTAGCTGTCGAAAATTTTCATTTTGCATTGAAAGCAATAACAATTGACAGTCAAAATTACAAACAAAACTCTCGTGTGAATTCAGTAATATATTCAAAAATCTACTACTTGGTGAAAACTAAATAGTTCTACTTATTTCTCAAAATAAATAAACATTTAACACAGCAACCTCATTCCTGATCATAACTCCATTTCCATTTTTCTTGCAAAATACTTATAAGAATGTGCTAATGAATTACCTAATTAATTGAATATTAACAAATTGCTAAGATATAGTTCCAGTGTGCAGTAAAACTGAAGTATACAGAAAAAGTTTGCTCTTCATCGAAGACATAATCTATTCTAGTTATTAGCCAGTTAATTACTCTTCATAGAATTGACGAGAGTATGGAGTTCGAACTTATGTTTCTAAATTGTAATAATCTGGCTAACGTAAGTTAATTCATATAACCCAAAGTACATATGATCACCAAATCAGTAACGAAAAATTCATAACAGCTTCGCCCACGCGAACCATTACAAACCTTTCTTTGCAGCAAATGTTTTTGATTTGCTTTATAAAACAAATTTATGTATTAGCAGAGAAAATTTACTTTAATTGGAAATATGAATTCATATAAAATATATTTATTTGAATCATTTGAATGATCACCATTTAGTGGTTCTGTTTTTGAAATTAACATTGATAAATAAAATTTACGCTACAGTGTTTGACAATTGAGAGTAACAGTATTGCCAGTTCAGTTTTTTACGAATTTAATTTCTTGAACTTAGAAATCTATTAATTAAAATGTACCATTTAAATAAATAAATGAACTTAATTATGAAAAATATAAAAAAATGTTAATATGAAATTTTTATTATGTGTAGCTTTTGCAATTTATATACTTTAATTTGTTATTAAACAATATAGTAAAAATTTACAAATTTATGTTATCGTCAATCGGTTTCCTCTTTGTGTTGCTTATGCCAAGCATTTTCTCTTTAGGAGTTTCTCTTCTAAAAATAGAAACCACAGAAGACATAAGAACAAATATTTTTATAAATTTTCTATGGCTGCGTCATCGTGTAATTATAATTAATATAAAATATTAGAAAACAGAAGCAACGAGATTAATTCGTTTTTAGTTTGTTTGTGCTCTTGTTTCGTTCGCGTTTGTTTTTCGCATTCGTGAATAAGCGAGTAACCTTGGTGTTTTTTTTTTATGAACAAAATAATAAAGCATCGCTCATTCATTTGCAGTTTAGTTAAATTTGATTTGGAGCACCCATTTTATGATTTCTTTCTTTTACATTTTTAAATTGCTATCAAAAGTGAAGTTAGTAAAAAAACATATGCCCTAAAAAAGATAAGCGCTGTATAATATTGCGAAAAGAATTTCTGCGAATTATTGGAGCTAATTTCAGTAAGTAAATTACGTCATCATATAACATTAAAGACGTAAAAACATCTGCATTTCAATTTTATAGTTTCTCTAAGGTGGAGGAAAATATTACATAGTGGAAGACAAAAATGATTCACGTAGGCGAGAACAGTTGGAACCTAAGGATCTTTATAACAGATCTGCAGGTTGAGAAAACCTTAAGGGTGCGAGGCGATCAACACATAGGTGGCATCATGCTTCAACTCGTTGATCCAGAACATCCGAAAGATTGGTCCGACCACGCCCTTTGGTGGCCTGCTAAAAACATTTGGCTTACACGCACACGTTCAACACTGGATCAAGTGGGTGTTCACGCTGACTGCTTGCTACACTTTACGCCAATGCACAAAGTTTTACGTGTGCAATTACCAGATTTACGCTATTTAGATTGCCGTGTCGACTTCTCCATTAAAACATTTGGTGCTGTTGTTAATCTATGTAAAAATTTAGATATTCGTCATCCAGAAGAAATGTCTCTTTGCAAGCCACTTGAACAAGAACACATTAAAAAGAATTTTTCGAATTATCCACAAAAGAAAATCCCAATAGCTGAGCCGAACGGAACTACATACTTGCATCCTGCTCCTGACACAAATTCATTTATACCAATCAATTCAGCATATAATGGTAGTAATGGAAGCTTAGATAAATCGCATAATGACAATTTTCTATGTGCGCCGGTTTCACCATATGCAACAACGCCCCGACGCACCGGAAATGGTACAGCCCCAGGTACTCCTATTGGCTCACCTACAGGTACTTGGAAGCAAAGCAGCAATGGATATGCAACATTTGATTCTTCATCTAGTTTAGGAGATTTCCAAGAAAATCTAGCTATCTCCCCACGTTCACCAAGTCCGGATGTGCGCGCACGCTTAGTACGCCCACGCTCACTTCTTGAAAAAGCACGTATGAATGTGGGATGGCTTGATTCTTCGTTGTCAATTATGGAGCAAGGTATCCGTGAATATGACACCTTATGCTTACGTTTCAAATATTATACCTTCTTCGATCTAAATCCAAAATACGATCAAGTCCGCATTAATCAATTATACGAACAGGCTAAGTGGTCAATACTAAACGAAGAATTAGATTGTACCGAAGAAGAATCGTTAATGTTCGGCGCACTGCAGTTTCAAGTAAACCGTCAAACTGAAATCAACCCACCAGCACTATTTTCTGATGCTAATACTTCCAATGTTGGTAATGGCACTGACGACGATATAGACTCTGCACTCAATGAATTGCAAATTACACTTGAGGGTCCAAATTCAGCTGGTGATGGCGGAAATATTACTAAAATACCTGAGTTGTCAGATTACTTACGCTTCCTTAAACCACGCAAGTTCACTTTAAAAGGCTACAAGCGTTTCTTTTTCACTTACCGTGATTTGCATTTGCACCTTTACAAAAGCGCTGAAGAGTCACGTCGAGGAGCCCCAGCATTTACAATAAATTTAAGAGGTTGTGAGGTTACACCTGATGTCAATTTGGCACAATCTAAGTTTGCAATACGTTTAGAGGTACCACCAGATGGCAGAAGTGGTCCAAACACAGAAGTATGGGTTAGATGCGACAATGAGGAACAGTACGCAAAATGGATGGCCGCATGCCGATTAGCTGCTAAGGGTCGCTCACTAGCTGACAGTTCATATGAAAGTGAAGTAGCTAGTATTCGAACATTACTCAACATGCAAAAACCAGCACAAGGTGCCTCTGTGAATATTGATCCACGTTCGGTGGATGCTAACGATTATTTGTCATCAAAAATCTTACGTAAATTGTCAAGCAAAGCAGTACAAAGAATGCTGGAAGCTCATGCCAATGTGCGAAAACTTTCGTTGATGGAAGCCAAACTAAAATACATTGAAGCTTGGCAATCGTTGCCAGATTTTGGTGTAACGTTCTTCGTCATTAAATTTGATGGTCATAAAAAGGAAGAATTACTTGGAGTTGCAAACAATCGCATTATGCGTATGGACCTGAATACCGGTGATCACATAAAAACATGGAGATATAACACAATGAAAGCGTGGAATGTCAATTGGGGTATTAAATGCATGATGATTCAGTTCCACGACGAGAATGTCGTTTTTTCGTGCCAGTCAGCTGATTGCAAAGTGGTGCATGAATTTATCGGTGGTTATATTTTTATGTCTATGCGTTCCAAGGAAAACAACCAAACACTTAACGATGAAATGTTCCATAAGCTGACAGGTGGTTGGGTTTGATCATAGCAGAAGCAGAAGCAGTAAATCAGTTAATATAACACGTTTTAAGGAGTAGTAGTGCTAAGCACAACAAATTTAATTATTACACGTTTATTGTAGAACAAATCATTTCTAACGATGCTGTACAGATATTTGGACTAAACAAATCGAATAGTTCGTTGCCTTTAACATAAAACAAAATAATATACGTAAACTAAACGTAGTTAATGTTTCCAAACAATTAATTAATGAATCGATAATGCCAATGTGCCTAACAATGTCTAGTGTAACTGCTTTTAATCTATTTTTTAATGTTCAGGATGTAACGATGCGCACACCATTTGGAGAATGGAGTTGGTTGTAGTGAAGGAAAGAATTAGGTTTCGTTTTAAAAATTAAATCTAATAAACTTATTTAAGATATATATACTTTGTAATTTGTGACTAACTGCATTAATATTAAATCGTTGTATCGCTTTTGTAATATATTTTATCTATTAACAAAACATAAATTATTTTTAACGAATTTGCCAAACTCAGACTACAAACATTTTTTAAAACTTATATATTTGTATGTATGTATGTTATTTTTTAACATTGTTGTGTATATCAACAGAAATAAAGTTGAAAAAAAATAATCATAAATTATGAATTTATTATTATAATGTTAGTATATCTTTTTTATGTAAGCATGTATAGAATAATCACACGTTAGAGTGAGTAAATATCCGGATTTTCAGGAAACAATCCAACAGTTTTGTAAATATGTATATATACATATGTAGTATAAGAAAAATATATAATTTGTCCAATATAGCAAGTAATAGATTTGTCGAAAACTTGTCTTCTGACAAGTATACGTATATTGATAACTATTCAAGATAAACCTCTATATAAAAAAAAACATCACATTCACAGATCCTTTTGTAACGTTTCATTATAAAAAAATAGAGTTACGCCACCGTAAATGTTAAATCTTTAAAAAAGTGGTGAAGCCACTATCTGTCATCGATCTTGACGAGTAGCTGCGAAACGTCAATCAGAACGTTCCTACAAGAAGACCAATCACACCTTTCTCGATGCTTCACAACCTTTCATATTGAGGCAGTGTTGTCTTTAAAACACAGTATGGATTAGAACTCAGTTCTATTCAGACCTCCCAACTTAATGTTTATTAAGAAGAAATACAAATTCAGCGTTCAGATATATTGAACATAAGCACATCTATTACTAACAAGTATTCTAATTGTATATTGATTTATAAATATTGATTGATTTATTATGAAACCCTAATAACTAAATTTTAAAAATACATTCTCGACTATCATTTCTCTTTTCTCTATTTAACTCATTTTTTATTAACCAAAAATTATGTTACCGTTACACCATGTGAGATATAATAATATATATAACGAAATAACTATTTTAAAGAATTTTATTTTGACATATTTTAATAAAAATATGGGTTATATCTCAGTAAAAGGGTTATTTAACATAGTATATGTTTTAATAAGTTAATCATTATTTTAATCACATGTTAAATAAATAATTATGTACTAAAAACATATATGATTATTTAGAGTTTTAGAAAACAGCCTAAGATGATTTCGGAGAAGTGGCTAGATATACTTACAATCAACTGTAATATGTATAAAATTTATTATAACTGATGAACAAGAAATTTTTGTATTTGTGCTGTTTATATTAAGACTGAAAGAAGAATTTGAATAGGAACCAATAACTTTTTAGTACAATTAAACTGATCCATGTAAATTCTACCTTGCGTTGCTAATGTAGAAATAAACCATTTAACGATAATTTTGAACCATAGAATAAATCAAAATACCGAAACACTTTAGAAACTTGTGCAGTTCATGATCTTGGTATACAGTGTAAATCTTAAAAGTTAAATTATTATAACAAAAATAACTTATGCTGTGTGAATAGGCATATAAAAGAAATTATTAATCATTACATGATTTAAATAAAATCTTTTAGTACGACCCTCGTATGCACTTAGTTTTAGCGAACTATTGTGAATGTGCATTCTTTGACGCGATGTTCTCACATGTTTTTGACGTTTCTTCAGGTAAAAATTAATAAACAACTTTTAGATTCACTTAGTTTTTTTGGAAACAGCGTCAATAGAAGTAATGGATGTGGACGATGATGAAATTGTGGAAGAGGTAGTTATTTACTGTAAATAATACAATATATTGATATTATATTTAAAGTGATTTCATAGATACCGGTTTATCTCTCCAAGAATCTCGAGGATAGCTTATTTGTTTTTCAATATCCAACGAAGTCGCAAATAGGCAATTTCGATAATGCAGAAGTTATCAATTGTTGCGTTAAGCCTGTTAATCAAGAAGTAAAAGTTGATTTTGCATTAAACGTAGAGTCAAAATTTTACGATTCATTCAAAGGTGAACAGTTTGCAATATCTGCAGATGGCAAAACACAACAAAAGAACGAACGACCAACGTATAAGCGTGGCTTGATGGACAAACAAACATTCCTAAGTCAACGACCACTGGATGATCCAAGCAAATATACAGTAGCTATATATGCAGACAACGAAATTCACATTTCACCGTTAAGTAGTATTCTGCAACTTCGTCCTGCGTTTTCACATTTCGATAAAGAAGACAGACGCAAAAAAGCTGAGCAAAAAGCACTCAATGAAGAAGATGATGAGGAAGAGTTGCAACATGTTACTGTTAAATTTGCAAGAACTGGTGGCAAAAAAGTTAAGGAAAAGCCAGGTTATGACAATTTTGTGAAAAAAAGCTCTGATGAACCATGGTGTGAAACATTTTGGCATCCGCGACTTTCATCAACAGCGGAATTACAAAAACAAAAGCTTTTCGCTACTAATCAGCAAACAAATCTATTCTTCACACAAGAACCTTATAAATATATGAAAAAGCTTATATCGAGCAGTGGTCAAGACCAAGGAATTGATGCCGTACTACCAAATCGAATAGTTAGTAAGGCAAGATTGAAATCTATGTCATTAGTGGAACAACTTCGAATCTTGCTCAGAGATGGTAAGTTCAAGAGTAAATATAAAATACAAATAAATGCTTATTTTGTATTTTCAGGTAGAATGTTGTCTTATCCAGATGTTGTTAATTTTATGCAGGAGAATATTGACAATACTATAACTGCTGATAAAGTGTTACGCACATTACCACAAGTTGGCATATTAATACATGGCAATTGGGTGGCTCAATCTGAAATATTATACCCGCCCGAAAGTCTCTCAAATTCCAATGGTGTCACTGCAGATCTTATGATACGTGCTAGAGATTATATTGTAAGATATTGTAGCTAAACATGTTAAGACAACGTAACGTAATTTTAAAATTTTATTTTCACAGCTTTTTCAGTTTTCCCGTACACCTTATATATATCGCCGGCAAGTGATTTCTGCCACTCAATTACCTGCTGACGAAGCTTTTGAAGTCTTAAAGTCAGTAGCGCGTTTAAATTCGCACAAAAAATGGGAATTGTTATTGCCGCCAGATAGAGAATTCGAACAGCGCAATCCCGAGTTAGTGCAGAGGCAAGAAATGGTTTGGCGTGCCACTGAACAAACGTACAATGAAATGGACTTTGAAAAATCAACGCAACGTGTACGAAAACGATCTGTACGGGATTCAAGAGCACAACAGGTGTAGTTGTATATTTGAATAAATCAATGAAAACTGGGTTTTCGCGTACCATCTCTATTTCTATCTCTAGCATATACTAAATAGATTTCATTGGTTTAAAGAAACCATTTTTTATATAATTTATGACTGCCTTTAAATCGCAATTGTAAAATTAATTAAAAAACTTTTTTTGGAATATATAAAACAATATTAAAAATATATTTGTGCGCATTTCTTTGCTTACAAAAGTTAATACATGTTATTTGTCTTATTAACAATTAAAATATTAAGATATATAAAGAGAATAAAATGTCAGTTAAACTGCTTTCAGTTTCTAGTATAAGTCAAATGAAAAGCAAACATACAATATCAATATAATTAAAAAAAATTGTGCACGTTTTTGTGTAAAAAGTAACAAAAAAATATTCGTATTTTATAGTTTCTACAAATTCGAGTTAATTACTAATATAAAAATATCCTTTGAATAGTTTCCATAAAATTCTGTTATTTGGTAATATAATAATGTCCGGTGCATTGCTTACATTTGAGCCGTGCACCGTTAAAATGAACAGGATTGTACGAACGGAAATAATTTTCAATATAGTTTAATATTTCAGCCGTTCTTTTTTCCAGAAACTCATATGAGATATTACGGAAGTTGGTGATGCAATGAATTACTATTTTGTAAAGAATATGCTCTGTTGATATAACGGTGTTTAGAATAATTTGTATATTGTTGGAAAGTTCATCAATAAATGTTTTAGCCAGATTCATTAGAAACTGACAAGTGCGTGCACAAAAGTACTGTCCTATAGCATTTAGAATATCTACGAAACTAAGGAAACTATGTATATGTTGCACAAAATTGTTACCAAATTCCTCTGCCATCAACAAAAGATTTAATTCTTTTGCGTCTGCATTCAAACGATGCAATAGCATTGCACCAGCAGTGCTAATCGCTGATCGAAGTGAAAGATTTGGGAATAATTCATGTAAATTTAAAAGTATAGCCCTTTCGGGTATTTCATTAGCTATTCGTAAGATATCCAAACGAGTATTGCGTCCATTTGATATGTGCTGGTAATTTCGCCTAAAAATAAATTATTTCTTAATTTAATATTTCTTAATTTATTTAATTTCTCGTTGCAGTAATAAAATTTTAGATGAATATACCTTAATTGTTTAGTTATGGATCTGCGTATGGTTGATCTTGTCCCTGTGGATATTTTGGACACAAGTTTGAAATTATTAACTGAATGAGTAAATATAAGTAAAGATGAGCTCAAATTAAGTAGGTCCAAAGAAGTTATTTCTTCATTATCGTTTATTTTCTATGAATCGAAAAAAGAGAATAACTTTTTCAGTCACAAATTTATCAAAATCTTAAAAAATAAATTATTTTATAATTAAATATTTATTTTTTCGATTTATTATTATTATGTTGAGGCTAGTTGAGTCAGTGCACTTGAACACTTTTACTCTCTATTAACTGCTAGGTTTGTTCATAACACCTCTCTACACCTTGACTGGATTATTGTTTATCACTTCACAGACCAAGCAATAACTGACCTCAGAGATCTGCATACCACCTCCTCGAGGAGCTTGTAGCAATTCTGAGATTGGATAACGCGGTGTTGGTAAGCCTGTCAGATTGCAAGCTTGGAAATCTTGTAATAAGTTTCGTAATCTATTACTAATTATTAATATTATATTAATTATATAATATATTCGATTTATATTTAGTTTAATTTGTTTTTTCAAATTTATTTGTATTAATTTATAAATAATAAAATGAAGAGCTAAGTGAAGTTTTTTATACATTAATATTAAATAAGATGCTTTTCATGGTTTGATATCATTTTAATATTTATTTATGTCGTGTTTATTTGTAGAGTGGTTCACATAGATTATCTACCTGACGGAAGGCAATAGACAATTCAAGATGCAAATAGCTTCTCAGAGATCAATATCCTTTCTAAGTTAATTTAGAATAGAATTTAAGTCAATTTTTGTCAGATAACTAACTGGAAAAATCCTATATTGAAGAATCAAGCTTACTGCATTAAGTATGCTCACATAAAACACGATTTTTAGAATATATTAATTATTGGTTGTTGTTGTTGTAGCCCGCGGGGACTATGTAGTCCTTTTGGAACTGCTGAATGGCACTTGGTTGTCAAAATTAACGACTGCATCCGGGCGTTCTGGGAACGTTAGTTTAGGTTAAGTTGGGGTGCCGACGTTTTGCCCAAAGTGCACTAGAGATTAAATAATGGCCATTTAAGACAATACGAATTAACAAAAGGAAAGCGTACGACAAATGCCGAAAGGCACGACTGACAAGTCTATAAACTTGGGTAGTATAAACTTATGAGGATAACAGCTCTGTCATCTTCATAATGCCATGTTTTTCATATCTAAGTCAATTGTACTCTTTAACTTAATATAAGTGTAATATTTATTTGAATCAATAAAGAAAGAAAGAACTAGCAATCTTCTAGTATGTTGATTTTATAACATGCAAAAAATCATATGAACATAACTATAATGTTTTGGTATGTTATACTCCCTATTAACAATGTTAACCGATTTATAGAATAAATACTAATTACGTTCATTTACCGTAAAAATATCAAATACTCCGCATACGGCTCCAGTTCCTGATACTACGACCGATGTCATATTGATCCCATTTACAATAGTTTTTGCCTTTATAAAAAAATAAACAAAAACTCCAATTAATAAGTCCACATGCATATATTAAACGGAAAGAAAGTAAAGAAACTTACAACATTCACATTCTTTTTAACAGATGCTAATCTTAACACTTGTGTTGAACAAGTCGCGCCTATTCCAACTGCTCCAACAGCTACCCCCAGCCATTCCTTTCGTGCATCTCGATCCGTGACTGCGATAGATTGTTCATGGTAACTGCGATCTCTTAATGACATTAGAGAGCGCAACGAGCTATAAGCTGCAGTTGCTATAGTAGCAGCAGTTGATGCAACAAGTAAGGGCCCTGCCACTGTTATTGCCGCTGAAGCCACTAACGGAACACCGGCAGCTACTCCGATTAATGTAGCGCCGACATCAGCAGCGCGTGCCAATTTTGACGATGTGGCGGAAAGAGGAGTGTAATGTTTTTCAAGTATAACCTTTTAAAAAACACAATAATTTATATATACATATTATTCTTTTTTAATTCTATACTTCATCGTTATTATTGAAAGAGTATATTCCTTTTGCAGGTGCTACCATTACGCCGCTTGGCAACATATTCTGTGTCAAATAATGATTCCAGTTTTGATAAACACGACCATGTTCATCGATAAAAATCATACAACAATTTCTGCTGTTGTTGTCGTTACCTGAAAAAATTATGCAAACAGTTATGTGTTTTGTTATATTAGGCAAACATTTATCAAATACAGACCCATGCATTTTTTTGTACGAAGCACTGGATGAATGGAGTATTTTGTTGAAACCAACGCATCACTATCGACTGCATTGGTTACCAAAACGTATATGATGGCAGAAAACAAGTTCATGTTAGTGTATTTACCTTAAATAATAGAATATTTACTTTAATTAGTAGAATATATTTCTTTGTTTTTATTTACTTATTGAACCAGAAATCGCACCACTACAAAAATAACATATCTAATCATAAGTCTTACAAAAAGGGGGAAAACTAAAAGAAACCCTGTTATCGGCGCCGGCTAGCAAGTGCCAACACAAAGATTGTTTATATGCTAGCTTCTATTGTGTCGGCAGTTGCATATCCGGCGTTAACTTGGGTTGATTCTACTAATAGTTTTAGCAAGCTGCCTTTATGCCAGTGCAAGCGCTTGTTGATGCTGATATCAACAGCGGGTTTTCCCAGTAAGAAGCGTTCTTTATGTTGTCACCATTAGTTTCTTAAATTCATACATATTTACAGCATTTACTGATATAATATTGTATAGGTTTGCTCTCATTGTACCATTTGGGGAATACATTTTTGTATTATACTCACGCTGTTGCCATACACTTGCAAATACGGTTTCACGTAGTCTATCATATTTCTTATTATCAACATCAGGAAACAATTGGATTAACTTCTGTTTTAATATAACAGCCTGATCAGGAGATAGTCTGCAATAATAAATACTAGAGACTACTTGGGGAAAATATTTCAATATTACTTACATGTCCCAAATTATTTCAGATCTCAAGCCACTGCTCAATGCAAAATCCTGTTGCAATTCTTTAACTGTACAAACACTGGACATTTTAAACAAGACAAATAAAACTTAACAATAAATAAAATTAATAAAAACTAAAATTACGCAGTACGACAAAATATCGGTAAATTCCCTTTTTGAATGTTCCTACATATATGTGTATGCGTCCATACTTGATGCGAATCTTTTCGGACCGCAATTCGAACTCGGTTCGTGTTTGGAAATGTTGACAGAAAAATGTTTAGGCGCCAGCAACATGAGTATGATTACCCTACATTTTTAATGTTTTTGCCGTGTTTCAACACAATTTATATCAATAGATATTCCCACAATTCTTCAAATAGATGTAGCATTTATTCCTTTAAAAATTTTCAAATAATAATTGCTTTGTTATCACTTAATTTGTAGAAGTTCGATACGTTACTTTATTATTTTAAATTTGTATTTTAAAATAATAACCACAGCCCTAAATAAGACACTTAGTTTAAGGAATTATTTTCGTTTGTTATGTAAATACTTTAATTACTAGATTACAAATAATACAAATTGATTTTTCTATGTTTATTTATGGCGATTACGTAGTTATTTAAATTCGCAGTGAACGAATTTTTTATTATTGCTAAGCAACTAAATATTTGTTCATTAATTCTGATACACTAAGTTGAAGTCTCAAACCATACTAGCGCGACTTGGTTTAGTAATAGTTTGTTGTGGAAATTGAAAAGAATAGTTTTAAATTTCTCTGCAAAATCTCTTTGCGAATAACACGTAAATACATGTGTTTAAATTTTATACTATATGCGAATTTATTAACGTCAGCGCATTTTATTCAATTTCACATTTGTGTTGATAAGTAAAGTAATACTATGTTCAGACAGTCAAATTTGCTTAATTTCGTAAAAATGAAATTAAGTTAATTTCGAAAGCGTTCATACTGTCCCAAATTAAGGAAATCATGTGTTTTTTCTTTACAATTTGAATGTTAAAAATTACATGCTCCAAACACCAATTGTACCTGGGTAATTTTAAAAGTAGTTTTATTAGCTTTAGTGGATTTCAGATATGTGATATATAATTTTTCATTCTACTTTAAATTAATAACAGTTACAGTCTTTTCTCTATATTTAAGTTTAAAAATTTGCTTTACTTTCAAAATATTTTCCCGGTTTTATTCCCGGTTATAAAGTCAACTGTCGCTGACATTTATTTTAAAAAAATGTCAATTTTTCGTTATCCCAACTTTATCTTTAGCTTAAAACTTATCTTACGCATAGTTGTATTTGAAATTTCCCTTAATTTCAGATTTACAACGAAGTTACAATGAAATTAAGGCCATTTTTCTTGATTTCGTTCTAATCTTAAAACTGAATTTTGTATGGAAAAAATAATTTAATTTCGCTGAAACGAAGATGAAAGTAAGATTTCATAAAGAAAACTTAAAAAATAAAGCTATAGATCAAAATAAAGCCAAAAAATTTAAACAAAAACACAAAAACGAATGTGTTTGCGATTTTATTTATTAAATTCAAATAAAATCTGAACATAAAGATTTGAGCGCAAATATAACCTGTTTTTAATTTTTTACTTTAAAGCATTTTAAATTTATTTTTTTTTTTACAATAAATTGTTATTACAACCAATTTTCAATACGTTTTTTTATTATTACTGGACTTAACTCATCAATTTAACAAATAATAATTTAAAATGATTTTTTAAATAAAAATAAAATATTATACTTTTAAATTTATGTTAAATATTCATCTTCAGATTAAATAGATCATCTCCAGTATACAATAATAAACAAAATTTTTATTTATTTATTTGTGTATCAGTTAAATATTTATGTACATGAAATAGGGCTTTGTGTGAAATGGCTGACAAATCAAAACAGTTTTTTTCTTTAAGCAAGCAGTAATAGATTAATTAATTAACATAATCAAGTATTTGTGTGAATAGAGTCACACAAATTATCACGAGTGATAATTTAGAAAACGCAAACGAATGAAAGCATGAAAATTAGATATGCTTTATGTGTACGTAAACATCCAGTATTCTTTCTTGTATGATTGAATATTTTGATAATCTGTAGTGCACTTTAAAGTTCTATTTTTAAGTCAGATTTTACAAGTCAAAACTCATTTAAGTATGAATTATGACAGCAAAATCGTTGATTGCAGCACAACTTGAGTCGGTTGTAAAAGTTCTCCCATGCTGACTCCCATAAAATAAAAATGAAGTGTAGGCATTCCATAAACAACATATTTTTACAAACTACTGAGTAATCGTACATCCACATTGTCTCATTTAGGTACTTGCGCATTTATATAAACGAGGAAACGTTCGCATTATAATGAGCTTATTTCTGCAGCTGATAGAATTTTAAAAACTTTTCTAAACGTCACTTAATAATATATCACACAAAAAAATTATATATATAATTGATATATCAAAACATTTTATACATCAATTACATATTTAATTAATAAAAATAAAGATTTTATTATATACTTACTTCCTCAGTGCCTTTGTTTATAGCTCAGTTGTTGTTTGTTTACACTTTACATATGAAATATATGTCAAATATTTTAGCCTTTGGTAATTTCCCTTGTGGGAAATTAAGTTTCAGTAAAACGAAATACAAACTGAACATGAAAAACATATATCATAAAATATATATTGAATTAATTAAGGAAAAAATTTAATAAATTTTTTTTATGAATACGGGTAAGAATAATTTTTCTTTTAAATTTATTAATAAGTCAGTCATTTATCATTTGGTATTTAAAAAGACGTTTCATTGGCAAATTTATTTGCAAATAATTACAAATCGCAACTAAGTTCACAACACTAAAGTTGACCGGCGCAAAAAGCAATATGGCGTCGGTTCTAATTGACAGCTAAGTTATATTGTGATACCAAAAAATTCTTTATGCATTTGTAAAACAAAACTAAGTGTTAAAATATATTTAAAATGGATGTCCCACAGCCTCCTCGAGGTAATCTAACAATGAATTACAATATAAGAAGATTTGCAAAACCTTGCATATCCAATGTGAAAAACTGCTGTGAAAACTGTATTTTTAATTTTAGACGCAAGTCTTCGAAATATAATAGATAAACTAGCAGAGTTCGTTGCACGAAATGGACCAGAATTTGAAATGATTACTAAACAAAAACAGCAAAACAATCCAAAATTTGAATTTCTATATGGTGGGGAATTTGCTGGTTATTATCAGTACAGAGTCGCCACGGAACAATCTTGTAAGATGCTACAACATAGCTCTTCAATAAATTTCATTAATATGTTAAACATATATCAATTATTGCTTATAGATCTTAAACAACAAGGAGGAAATTCTCAAGGTATTGCAAATCAGGTACAACACGCCAGTGCACAGTCATCAATGCATTTTACACAAGGTCCGCCCCCTGTTCATCATCAACAACAACCTGCTCCTAACCTGCATGACAACTCTTACATAAATCAACCACCGCCTAATCATTTATGGAATAATTCCGGCAATAATCCCACAATACCACAGTCGAATGGAAATAATATGGCAATGGGTTTGCAATCACAAATTGAGTCAATAAATATGCAACAAAGTACATTGCGCGATCAGATTCATCAATCGGAGTCAAATCTATCAGCTCAACATTCGGTAAATTGCATTCAATTAATATATGTAAATAAATTTGTATGTTTCTATTTAATATTTTTATAAGAAAGGTTTTTTAGCACATGGATTTTGGAATGTTAAATTCTGATTTATTGGCTTGAAAGTTTTACTTTTTCACTTCACTGATTAATTCATATTGATTTTCTTCTGCTGCGTTAAAATTTGAATAAATTTATATATTTTTCGGCGTTTTCTTATATTAAACAATCTTTCAATGTTAAGATTTATCGTTCATACAGCAATAAAGAGATTCATAATTGAAATTGAAATTCCCTGAAATTGATAAGGAACGATGCTGAATGTTAAATTTTTAATTTGAGATATTAAACAATATTCTTCAACAATTTGACTTACAGTTCTTGTTCCTCTAATAAAGATGTAATAGATCTTTTATAAAATTGAAATTGTGCTTAACGTATATTAAGGTATATTTTTCAATACTTAAATCGTATTAAGTTTCAATAAATTATACAAAAATACGTTTTCTATTATACCCTAAAATAATTATAAATATCGGTGCTTTTTAATGATTTTTGAAGCTCTTTAAAAACCGTCCTTTACAGCTACGTACTATTTGTTTCTATGATACAAAGCAAATTCTTGGAAATGGTAAATTATTATTTATTGATATTGACAAGCGACGTCGGATCATAGACTTTCCAAGCGTGGAACAAAATGCTGGTGTAATTGTTATTTCTCTGTAATTAAATATCATTGTTAATCGCGTTTTTTGTTTGCACGGACACTCTCTTATTTAAAAAAATCCAATTAAAATCCTCAAAATTATTTATTAAAGTAATTAAGTCATACAATAATAATGTATCATTGCATATTAACTGCCATGTTAATTCAATTGATATCAATTACGTAGCAAATACTTCTAATCCACTCCAACACGCAGTCTATACACAACTGAACCCAAATTTATACATTAAAAAACGCTGAAAAGTGCTAGTTAACGGCATCAAAAAATAAATAAATAAATAAATCTGTAGAAAATTATATAAAATAAATTCCACAAACATTTTTTGTGGATAAATTTTGTATAAACATTTTCAATATTACCAATAATATTATAAAAAATTGTATAAAATATTGTATAAGTACAGTTTTTTTAATCATCAGTGACATCGATGGGTTGATTTGTGAATTTGTAATCTATATATACATTTTAATTATAATATCTTTTGGGTCGTGTTTGTTACTTTTAGAATTTTTAAGTCATAATTTAATTTTATTTTCACAAATTTTTATTGATAGAGCCATAATTATAAACACTCGTTTTATTGCAATAAATTTTTTATGGCAACATTAATTTATTTTTTTTCTCTCTTATGGTTGTTTGTTGTAGAACGGGTAGTTGCTCTGATTCTTCTGTTCACTCTATTTTGAACGTTTAAACTCAGGCGGGAGTTGTGAGCGCTCATCAATGATAAGTGGTTCTTAAACTTAGAACCGACGGGTTTTGTGATTATTTAGTTTTTTCAAGAAAATCACAATGAATGTTGTGATTCATTGTGCGGCATACTTAAGAATTATTTAATAATATTTAAATCACTCCTATATTCCACACTCTAACACTGTCCTGTATTTCTGCTGTATCTATATGTTTTAAAATTAAATTCATTTATGGTTGAGTTTAATATAAGTTTTATGAGTAATAGAAGAAAATGGTTTCAGCATTTTGTTGTTCGAGTGTACAATGAGTTGTTTAAAAAAATTCAAACAACGTATGGTTAATGCTCCTGCATAAATCCAATAACTGATTCTAATGGAACCAGTGTTACATTATATCGAGTGTAGTCGCCAGTTATGTAAAGCTTGTAGCTATATTTACACAGCTGCGTCATTTAAGGGGATGAATTAATCCACTACTGCATTACATTTGACTAGTCCATGAAGTGTTTTTTATATTCTTTATGATGCAATTCCATTTTTATCTTTCTGTGCTTATAGTAACTGTATGTTCTGTATGTTCTGGGTAAACTAATTATATAGTACATTACATGTTACTAGTGTGTGACCTGGTGTGAAGTGAACTAGTTCATTAATCTTGGTAACAACTAATATGCGTACTAGTCTACTAGTCTAATGGATCAAATAATCCATAGATTTATGCAGGGTTGGACTATCAAATTTTGTATACTCAAAAGCGTAAATATACTAAGGGAAATATAATGAATTTTTATATTCTTAATTCTGTTAAGTTGATATACCTGCCTACTTCGCTTAAATGTATGTTATATTCTTTGATTCATCCATATTTTCTCTTTAAGTCTCTCTAATCCACAGTTATTTACCAATTTTACTCTTATAATTTGTTAAAAAAATTTTATATAACTATATTGATATTAAATGAAGTGTTCTTTTGTCTACATATAAATTTTTGCTTTACTTGTATATTTTTAAAACTACATATGATTGATCCAAAAAATTTCCTACTTCGCATTGCTTATGTTACGATACCAATTTGCACTTGTTCCATCGATAATCGAACATTTTAGGCTTTGATGAGTCAACAGAAAAAACAAATTGAAGAAGCCATTGAGGCGGCACAAAATACTCAATTGGAAATGCAGGCTGATGAGAACGGAATTTCTCTGCGAGATTTTGATAGTATACTTCAACCAATCATCGAATCCTGCACCAAGGATAGCATCTCAGCAGGTAAATAAAAATAGAATTACTATAAACATTTATTATCGTTTATCAATTAAGATTAAAATGTAAGTTAAGTGTACACACCGTAGTTTTATTTCTTTATTAATAATTTTTTAAATATGATTTACTTATAATTTATTTTTTGATTTAATACTAATACCCTCTTCAGAGATATAAACAGTAATGTATTGGTATTGCAATTTTAGGCAAAAACTGGATTTTACAGCACTCATCCGACAACGCTAAAAACAATGTCGTTTTACAATATCTTTTAAAAAAGTATGAGAGTTAACTAATATTTCTTTATTGACAAATAAAACAATTTTTTTTTGTAAAATGTATTAACAAATTTGCTTCTCTTTCACTGACACTGAGATGAAAACACTAAATGTCGTTCATAGAAAGAAGTTGTGTTGACTAAAGGTTGACTCTGTCCTTACCCATAGACTAATTTTTGAAAACTGTCAGTGCGTGATGGTAGTAAATAAGCCAACATGAGCTGATATATTTTATGTACTAAATTAATATAAATAATTTAAAAAAAAAATAAGTAAAACATATCAAGTTTATGACCATACGCAAAGGACATCAAAACAAAACAAAACAAATATCGTTTGGTTATTTATTTTTAGGGCATTGCTTAATGGTTCAACGTTTCAACAAAAATTGCACCTTATATATTTAATAAATGATATTTTACATCACTGGTAAGTAAGGAAATTCCATTATAAAATTTATATTATATAGTAAATATACAAATTACTGCATTTAAAAATTTTTTATTGATGTACAGTAATCCCCCCTATAACGCAGTACCCTTATAACGAGTTTTCATATTACACGATTTCAATCCACCGTATAACACCGGGAATCTCCCATATAACGCGGGGATTTGCACAGTTCATAATTAGCTTCGCGTACCTTTGCACGTGTGTATACGGGGTATACGGAATACCTTTATAACGCGTTTTCCTATAATGCGGAACCAATCTACCGTGTTATAGGAGGGATTACTGTAATTGTTGTTTTTATTACAATCATGAGATTATGAACTGACTGGGCTGATGAGCGAAGAGAGTTAAAACATAATCTCTTAGTTAGAAAAAAAATGATTGAACAGTTAAATTTCTAAAGATCCTTTTCAATAAAACTGTAGAGCAGTGTTTCTCAAATATCCAGCCGGGGTCTCATCATCAGTGAGTGGTCTTGGAATTAATTTTTCTGTTTAATTATTCATAAATAATTTTTTTGAGACTGCAAGTACTAAGGGTTGATCGCGTACCCTGCCAAATTTGAAGCTCAGAGTCAGAATTCATTAGCCAACTGATTCAAAGCCGTACTTGACTTGGAATTTTGTTAATTTAAATTTTGTTATATTAGAACAAAATTATAAACCAGCAATAGAATAATTAAATTAATTATTTGTAGTTATTTTTTCTTAATTATTAAATTTCAATCGTATTTTAGAAAAACACTTCAAATATAAACGTATTGGTGAACAATACGTTTTTGTTTAAGAAACACTGGTCTAAAGTAATATTTTTAAGGTAGAAAAATTTTAAAAAATTATGATCAGTATTGCTTCTTTAATCGATCAATCAAAACAACAACATCTTAGCCAACCAACACACATATATGATTGTATATAGATAAATTTATATTATAAAGATTTCTTAAAAAAAAAATGTGAAAAAAAATGAAATTAACAAAAATATTTTCAGTGTAAGAAAGAATGCAAACGACCTGAAGAATTGCCTGGAGAATGTGGTTATTCCAATGTTTTGTAGCGCTGATTTAAGTAAGTAGAAATTAATTTGTAATTTGTAAGGAAATTTTGTTAAACATTGTTTTTTTTTTACCATACAATTTAGTTGCAAGTCCTGAGCAGCGTTCAAAGCTAACCAAACTGCTATCACTCTGGGAGTCCAAAGCAAAATTCTTTGATGCATGCGTAATATCTAAGCTGCAGTCTCCGGACTCATCTATGCAGGAATATAAGACCAATCTACAGAATTTACATCACGATACAGTGTATAAATATACAAAGACAACAAAATCTACACTTGATAAGTATGAAATCAATATAAAAAAATTATGAGAGGACATGTTCTCCAAGCACTCCTTTTCAGTTTATGCACATTAGTATATACAACATATCTCTCATTTGTAGCTATCAGCAACAACATCAAATTTTCATACAGCATGCTACACAACAAATAACACAACTTGAGCAACAGAAACAACAATTGGAGCAACAAATGCTGTCTTCTGTGCACCCAACTGGAAATATTTTACCGAACACATCGGTATTACCACCACAACCAAGTCAAATTCCACAAAATCACCAACATCATCATCAGCAGCAACAGCAGCAGCAACAACAACAACAACAACAACAGCAACAACAACAACAGCAGCAACAGCAACCACCACCACCACAACAGCAACAAATACAAAGCAGTAAAATTCCTTCACTGATGTCGCAAAAAATTACAATGCCCGATATAAATGATTCCGACCATATGCAACCACCTGGTGTTGATGAGAATAATTTTATGGGGAACAATTCAATGTTTTCGCATCAACAGCAACAAAATATGTTTAATACAAATAACTGTTATCCTCAGCAACAAATGCATAATTCGCAACAGCAATCCACGCCAACTGGACAGCACAATAATAATTTTAATACTGAAACGATGCCACAAGCAACAAACAATTTCTTCATTCCCGATCTATCAAAACCGCCGCCTGGTTTTATGGGAGGCAAAAGTGGATCACTGCCGCCGATTCTCCAACAATTTGCAAAAATGTCGAACATTCCTCAAAGTACAGAAAATTTAAATTCTGGCTCGAATGAAGGTTCAATGGTGGCGCAGAATTTAAATATTGATATTATGACTTTAAATGCAGCACTACAAATTGTTCAACAGCAACAACACTTGCAGAATCAACAATCATCAGAGGACCAAATAGTAAGCAATGATAATCAGGACCTTATAGGCAATGAACTCATACCACCACCACCACCTCAAATACCAATGGAAGATAGTCAAAATCCTACAGCCGCATATTATGATTTACCAGCTGGCTTATTGGTCCCACTTATACGGCTCGAGGATTATAATTACAAATCTCTCGATCCATCTGAAATTCGTGTACCAACACCACAACCAACTAATGAACGACTACTGAATGCCATGGCAGCGTTTTATGCACCCCCAACGCACGATCGACCCAGAGACACGTAAGAGAAAAAATTATAATATTTCCAGTCTTTATTAAATTTAAATTACATTTGATTACAGTGAAGGTTGGGAAAAATTAGGCCTCTACGAATATTACAAAGTTAAGAATGCAGCCAAAAAGCTAAAAGAAGAAGAAATTAAAAATGGTCAACGTGAAAAATCTCGTTCACCCACTCCCATTTTAATTGAACGACCGAAACCCAAAAAAGTTAATAAACGTTGCTATCGGTAAGTGATGATTTAAGGCGTGTGCCTTAAATTATAATTTTAACAATATATAATTTAATATAAAATTTTGTTTTTAATTTTTGAGCTCATACGTCGGAATTATTTTAAAAATGGTTTTTTTTTAAGAATATTATGTTAACGTTTATTTTGAGCGTTGATTTTTTATATATTTCTATACGTATTTCGGCAAATTCGCTTTTGCCTTTATTAGAAAAATTCCTAATATTATTATTATTTTCTTTATATTTATTAGTTCTAAGAGCCGTAGTCGATCTCGATCGCTTTCACGTTCTAAATCACCTCCTGCTCGATTTAGAGAAAGAGAGCGGGAGAAAGAAAAAGACAGAGAAAGAGATAGGGAGCGGGACAGGGATAGAGATCGAGAAAGAGAGAGGGACAGAGATCGTGAAGGTCGTTCAGGAAATCGAAATAATCGTTACAACAGAAACCGCTCACCACGCCGATCACCCACGTCGCGTGAACGTAATAATAGTACTAGAAAAGAGCGAGAGAGATCGGTCACTCCTCCAAGCTTGTAAGTTTTGTATTTATTCTGTTGTTATATAATATATATGTACCAATTTCAAAATTCTAGTGCCAATAGCAGTGTCGCCAAATCAAATGAGTTCATTGAAGAGTCAAATAAGGGACATCAAATGCTAATGAAAATGGGTTGGGCGGGAACAGGTTTAGGAACAAATAATCAAGGAATTGAACAACCGATATCTGCTGGTGAAGTTAGAGATCGGAAGGATTTGTATAAAGTAAATATTTGTTATAATATAGCAACTTTAATACATTAATACTTTGCATCTTCTTCTATAGGGACTTGGTGTCAGTTTGAATGATCCATTTGAAAATTTCCGAAAAAATAAAGGAGCTGCTTTTGTACATCGTATGCGTACGCGAGATGATAAGAGTTAAATAGTTTATATGTTAAACATTGTGGAATTCAAAATTTAATAGGTATTAATAAAATATGATTCAAACATGTTTTAAATTGCGTTTGACAACAAATTTTAAAGAAACTTCAACATAAGTTCAGGACATTAAGCGTACCAATAAGTTTGTTTATTAGAGAACTGAAAGTGGAAAACAAAATTGATTAAATGTTAAGAGAATTTAAACGTGGCTACGCAGGTATATTAAATGCTGTTGCAGCCGCTTTAGCATTAACTTTCTCTAACACTTGTACTAGTCCTTTGCCAGGGCCGCATTCAAATGTTCGTGGGAAATTTGTACCCAGTTTGCGGTCATACAAATAAAGAAGTGTCTGTTCCCATTTGACTGGCTTAACAATCTGTAAAGTAAAAGATTTGTCTCAAAACCGAGTGGTTAGTAGTTACGATGAAGCTTACCTGTTTTGGTAATAATTTTAATATATGTGTGTGGTTTTTATAAGGTTTACCATCAATGTTTGAATACACACGTACGGCGGGTTCTTCAATATACATACTTTTAAGTGCTTTTGCGAATGGTTCTACAGCAGATTCCATAAGGGGTGTGTGAAAAGCTCCACTCACTGGCAATCTTCTCATGCGCTTAATTTTAAGTGCTTTGGCATTTTTTTCAAGAAATTCCACTGCTTCTGTATTTCCTGCTATAATTTTACACTGAGGATACATGTAATTTGCGATGCCACAATAAGGTGATTCTACACCACGGTCAATGCACCATTGTTTGGCTTGAAGGCATGCCTTTCCCAGCTGTGCATCTGGGGCGTAGAGTACCTTTAGTAAATATGTTATATATCAAAATTGAATGCTTTAAATAATATTAACTGATTACCATTGCCATTGCTCCGGATGCTTTATCACATGCTGCTTGCATTGCATTAGCACGTACTTGTACAAGTTTTAACGCTTTGTCAAACTGTAAAGCACCAGCAAACACTAGGGCTGTGATTTCCCCAAGACTGAAGCCCGCGGTAGCTACACAGTTTTCTATAGCACGCGGCCTTTCTTCACGAAGTTGTTCAAGTGCTGCTAATGATGAAACCATAACGGCTAACTGTGCATATTCTGTACGATTTAATTTTTCAACTGGCCCTTCCAGACATATTTTTAACAAATCATATTTCAATATCTCATTTGCAAATTTGAAAAGAGAGAGTGCACGTGGAAAGCGTAGTAATTCTTTACCCATGCCAACATATTGTGTACCTTGACCAGGAAATAATATAATGGATGTATCTTTCGGATCAACGCCTGGACGCCGTGGTAGTTCATTTTCGAATTCCTTCAAAAGTGTATTTCGTTTCGATTCGTCATTGTCTTGTTCTGGCTGTGGATTACTCTCAAGGGATTGATCTTTAACAGCACAAAAGTTCCGCAAATGTGTCAAGTTTCTGTATGGTTTATTGTTTAAAATATCTCTGATGATTTTCTTTACTATAATCATATTCGTTATTCACTTTTATGTGTTATTAAGATAATGTCTTATAATGTGTTCAATATAATGTATTTATGTAAATACATATCAGATCATATGTTTGCCGGTTAAAACATATGTTTAACGTCATTGCAGTGAAGATCACAATAGTTTTACTACATACTCTACTTACAGGGTGCTCTTACTTCCTTGTGTAAGATGTATGCATAAATTGAATCCTTACATGCCATTTAAACTTACAATTAACGAATTGCATAAGCAAATTTTTGTGTAGATTTTGTTTGAATAATGACATTTGTTGTAGTTGTATGTAATATTATGTTTCCACTGCAGCTAAAACTACTTATGTTAATGAAATTAGGTTTTCGACGTTCCTATTCACTTAGGTTGATTTATGCATGCGAAATAGTTTGTTTGTTTACATTTTACATATAAAACATTTGACAAATCTTGTAAATTTTGTTAATTTTAAAAAATTAAACTTTATTTCTAATAATTGAATTCGACATTTTTCGCCTTAAGTGGTGTTGATTTATTTATAATGAGCTCATTTATATGAAAGCTTTTTATATTGTTAATTATATTCATTAGTGGCCTTAATGAGAAAAATTGTCTATATGAGACAGTGGAAACATGGTATAAAAGCAAAACATATAAAAATTAGAACATAGACCTTCGTATTATTTTTATTGAGCATTAAATAGGTCTTATGTTAAAGTATAAAATTTTTTGCAAATTGTTGGAAAATAAGTGTAACGTCAAAATTTGACATTTTAGCAAATTAATATGCAAAAGGTCAAGTTAATTTGTTATGTCTAAAAATTAATATTTTGTCAATATATAAGAATTTTCATAAATGACAGACAATATCTTAAATATTGTTAAACTTACAATACTAATTACTAGCAGTTTTTCTCCTTTTAATCAGACATTTTGTAATTCCAATATTATTTATGAAATATATCGCTAAACATAACTAACTGGTTTATAAAAAATTGAGATATATTGATTTATTAACAATTTTTGTTAATTCGATATATCTTATATTTGGGTACTAATACAAGAATTTTTACATGAACTTGTAGTGAAGGTTATCATTAAAGTTACAAGGACAAATTATTCAGCAGAATAATTTCAGCAGAAAATTTGCGTAATCGTCTGAATATTGTGAATGAACAGTGAATAAGAGTAAGCATTCAGTAGTCGTTATCATTGCTGAGAATGTTTGTTTACGTTTACAATCTATGTGTGTAATTGCTAAGCACTTCTATTACAAGTGCATTTGTCATGAATAAGTAATCAAGTGTCCGCGAAAATGAGCAGTCCAAGTCACAGAAGTTCATTGCCAGTGCCGGAAGTGCGGATTTTATGCTTTGACTTAAGTTACTATAATAAAACTTCACAGTTTCTGTTAAGTTGTGCCGGGGTTTTTGTGTTATATTTACTTTATGGGTATTTACAAGAGCTTATTTTCACAGTAGATGGTTTTAAGCCATTTGGATGGTTTTTAACGTTAGTACAATTTGGATATTATATCGTTTTTGGATTAATAGAACGCAAAATTGAAGAACGTCGGCATGAAAATGTAACAACTGCACGGTGCATACCCATGAGAACATATTTTTTGTTAGCAGCATTGACGCTTGGTACCATGGGACTATCAAATTCTAGTTTAGGTTATCTAAATTATCCAACGCAAGTGATATTTAAGTGCTGTAAACTTATACCAGTACTTCTGGGTAGTATTTTAATACAAGGGAAACGTTATGGACCACTTGACTTTCTTGCTGCAATTTCCATGTGCATTGGCTTAACATGGTTCACATTAGCAGACTCACAGTTATCTCCTAATTTTAATACAGTTGGAGTGGCGATGATATCAACAGCATTACTTTGTGACGCAATAATAGGAAATGTGCAGGAGAAGGCTATGCGAGAGCACAGTGCACCAAGTAGTGAAGTTGTGCTTTACTCGTATGGTCTGGGATTTGTATACTTATTTGTGATTATGATATTAACTGGACATTTTTTCAATGGCTTAAATTTTTGCCTTGAAGTAAGTTATAAAAATATTGATGGTGGTTTTTTTTTTATTAAATATATAATTTTTATCACTCAGCATCCGCGTGAAACATTTGGTTATGGATTTTTATTTAGCCTTTCCGGTTACCTGGGTATTCAATTCGTTTTAGCACTCGTGCGGTCGTCTGGTGCTCCATTGGCAGCTACAGTCACAACAGCGCGAAAAGCAGTGACCATTCTGATATCGTTTTTATTTTTCAGCAAACCATTTACGATGCAGTAAGTATCGATTATTTTAAATATTTTAAGTTCAAAAATTATATCGTCCGTTTATTATTCCTTACAGGTATCTTTGGGCTGGGCTGATAGTAGTGTTTGGTATATATTTAAATGTATATAGTAAAAAGAATAAATTGACTTTCCAAGAGTTAGAACACAGGTCTAGAAAAGTTGTGTACATGTGCAAAAGAGTTTTGTGTTTGTGCAAAAATGTAGGAAAATCTGCAAATCGAAAATTTTTAGTCGAAGTATAGATTTTACTTTAAAGTAAATAGTATATAATTTCGACCGATTCGAATATCAAAGAAAGGACAAAGACAAAAATTTTTTATTTAATTTATTGAAATTTGGCTGATCATACAACGCTGTTTCGAGTATTGCCAAGTACTCTTTATCAGTGGTTTTTGGAAATAATCGAATTTTTATTTAATTAGTTTATAGTCCGTATATAATTTGTTTGAACTGCAAGTGCCAGGCTTAGAATTCGTGCCTGTCAAATTAGAAGCGATGACTAATCGTGTTTATCCACAAATAGCCAAGGCTGCACAAACTTTCAATGCTCAAATTCCAGGTTTTGTCAGTTATTTTTATTTAATTAGTGACATCAACCAAAGCACTTGCCGTGCTTTAAATTAGAACGAGCTTATAAACTACAGCTTTATTTGGAAACACAAGTTCAACGAATTGAAAGTTAATCTTTGAGCTTGCCTATTTTTGTTTCAAAGCTATTCTTTTTGTAGAGACATCTGTTATGCATATTTTTTAACTTACTAAATGTAAAGCCCTTTTTTGGGTGCAATTTTACAAAGAAGCTATGCAAATGTTTCTCTACAAGTTCGATAATCGCGTTAAGGAAAAGCTGAACAATATTATTGTTCATATGTCCAATAATTCTAATTTTTAAGGTTAAATTTTTTTGCCGATAATGGCGTGTCTTGTATGGTCAGCCAAATTTCAATAAATTAAATAAAAAAATTGTTGTCTTTGTCCTTTCTTTGCTATTCGAATAGTTTCTTAGTTTAAATAGTTTCTTTCGTCAAAAAGACACGCCATTATCGGCAACAAAAATTAACCTTAAAGTATATAATTTAGTTTTTCTTCTTATTTAAGTGTTTTTAAAAATATACACAAATAACAGGCACACGTACCAAATATATGTATGTAAGATACTATTAACAACATTGTAAAGAGATCTTGAAGGTTTTCACCATTTGTTATCGACACGAAATGCGTATGCAATATACATAAAAGTATTTTCTTACAATTGCATTGAATATTTAAGTAACTAAACATACAAACATACATATAGCTTAGTTACTTAAGCCATTAGCTATATTTGTTATATATATACGTATGATTATATGTATCAACTTTAATTTTATTTTTTAGCGTTAATGACAAACTTTGCAATGCTTCAAGAATTTGTCGTAAAAAAATAACAAAATTCGTAACACATTCAAATCAGATTGTACAAATTTTTTTAAATTGACATGACAAGTGAATTTTATTTAATTGTTATTAATATTATATTAAAGCAATGTATTAAATCATTCAGTAAACCTATACTGAAATATAATTATGTTAAATTTTAGATTTAGTTTCTTATGATGAGGATGACGGTAAAAATTGAAACTATATAAAAAATTAAATAAATCATGTATGTAAATAAATAAATGTTTTATGTTTACTTTAATAAAAGATTATTCTATTTCAAATTCCATAACACGTTTTATAAAGTCATTTCTCTCTTTGGCTGAGGCTATATTGCCTACCATTCGATCAAGGACCTGTTGTTGATGTTTGATTATAAATTTGTTACATTGCATTATCGTTGCTCCCGTATATATTGTACAAAACTTTGCACGTACATCTCCGATCTGTAATGGAAAAGATTTACTAATTGATATCACTGATATACATATATTACAATTAACCATACCATAGTTATAAAAGGGAGTGTACTCTGTACATATTTGTGTGACCGATGTGCACAGCGAATAATAGCAATTTTTGTACTGTCATTGCAATATTTTATTCGAAATCCCTTCTCTATTATGCCAAGTCCATAATCACCGTAATACTTTTTAACATTATGTAGAACACATTTGGTAATCACATGATCTTTCATGTGTAAGGCTTTCATTGCGGTAGCAGGTCGTATCTGAACAACTATGTAACTGAAGTATATTAATTTAAGTACCAGTTAAAAATTATTTAATTAATTGCTACACTTACCGGTTCTTCGTGCGTACCATTATTATTTACTTCAAAATTAAAATTCTATTTAATTCTATTCTATTAATTTTTCAAACCAGGATCTTTAATTCAATTTACTTAATGTTTTTAATACGGTTTTATTTATATTTAGGCACAGAAGTCTTTCTATTTATTATTGATTATTACTATTTAGTATAAATTATTATTAGTTCTTGTGCTTTATTTGAAATTTTATTTTGTTAGAGTCAAAAATAATAAAACCAACAGATATTGTTTATGTTGCGACACGTGCGTAAACAAACATCAGCTGTTCACAAAGACAGTGATGCCACAGTGGATCTCAAAATTAAAAACACGTCAATATCATTGCCCACTGCACTTTATCAATCATAATCACACTTTTACTGATCATTGACAAAGATTATCCATAAATTACACATTTTTAAAGAATCAGTTATATCTCAGGCACTAACAGTCGATCTCTTTATGAACTACGGATTCTGAACAATATAATAAACACTTTTGCTCAATTTCAGCTTCAACAATAGAGCTCGCCAACCTGTGAAATTATTTTCATAGCTATAAATCAAAGGTAACTGCTGTTCAAGAAATTAATGAAATTTCTGTAAAGCATTGTTTTAATAATGAAAAGATAACCTCTGTTTGCGTAGCATCTAAGATTTCAATATTAACTATAAACTCGTCATTAATGTTTTATTAAAGCAAGTAATTAAAACATATGTTGTTATTGGAGCGCTTATTAATAAGTATTCTGCTCTATGTGATCAGCTGGTTTCAGTTCAGAGGTAGAAAACTGCTTTGACTTGAATTCAGACATAATTTCTTTATCTAAGTTTTTTGCCCCAAATATATTTCATTTTTATATAATTCATTATTATATTTATTTCATTTTTTTTTATATGCGGAATAGTCTATCCATGAAGGCAGTGTATATATAAAGTTTTATAAACAATATTAACTTGTATAAACTGCTTTAACAGATTTTGAATTTCTTGGATATATTTGATTGCACTCCTAAAATAATCGGCTTATTGGTTGAATTTATGGTAGTAAAAAAAAAAGATCAGGACGCATGCGCTTTTTAAGAAAATTGGTTTATTTGCGTATTATTTTTATTGATATTACAAAATTTTTTTCTTAAATAGGTTTTTTCGAACAGTAGTGAACTACAACAACAAAAATTTTATTTTTTATATTATTTTACTTAATTGAATTTTTGGCTGACCATACAGCTGTTTCGAGTATTATGAAATACCCATCATCAGTGGTCTTGGAAATAATTCTTGTATTTAATTATTTTTAAATAATTATATTTGAGACTGCAAGTATCAGGAATCGAACTCGGGTCCTGCCAAATGTGAAGCTCAGATCACAAAGTTTTTTTCTTAAAATATAAATTAATGACTTAAAGCATTCCTAGCATACAACTGTATTTTCTTAAGAGTCTCTTAATAAATAACTGTTACTTCATACAAAGTTAGCTTTTATAATATATACTTGCTTAAGTTTTTAAACGATATTTCATTAATCTTTTGCTGATCTTATACCTATCTTATTGCTATCTTAAGAACTATTTACAAATAACTTACAATTACTATTTACATTTAATATTTATAATTTATATTCACAACTTATATTTACAAGTTTATTTATAAGCTATTCTTTAATATAACTTTTTCTTGCTATATATTTTTCTCATTCCTACGCTTGCGTTATAACCCCACTTCCTTTATTATCAGCCAATCTCCCTAAATTATGTCCTTACTTTCTGGTTTAGATGAACCTAACCCACTAGTTATTAAGCTTATCTGCTTCCATCTCTCTACCATGATTACTGGAATGAAGTTTCCACACTGCTGTGGAAATTTTCTCTATTCATTCATAAGAGGTGGTATTAATGGGTTCAAGTTTTACGCTGTGGCTTTCAATGCTTTTCACTAATGCAAAAAAGCTTTTTCTTGCTGTTCTTAAAAATTGTGTTAATTCGCACTTTAGCACAGAGGAATAAATATTGAAGTATTCTCAAAAACACTACATCTACGAAACTAATTCAGCATTTAGGACTGATTTTCCAATTGCAACTTAAGTCTCAAAACTGATTTAAATATGAATTCAGTCAGGAAAGTTGATTACTTAAGACTTAATTTACGACTGTGATATTGAGTCTTGGACATTTTTTGGTTTTTTGTACAATGTTATTAAGTAATACCTCTTAGTTCTTCTATTTTACTGAGAATAAATTTAAGAACTGTCACATACATATTGGTTTCTCTTCTCTTCATAAAAAAAATCATTGTATGAATGTAGTTCAATTTTTAATCGCTCAATCCAACAGTACCGTAAGTAGTGTGCATAAATATAAAATTAACCCCCTCATTTCTAGTATACGTTAAATTATTACAATACTGACTGACAGCCCAGCAGGTAATATCCAAACTGGTATGGGAATGCATTGACATACTCGGCTGTTAGAATCAGTTGCACTTAATATGGATTCCAGAGCATGCTGGTATCTAAGGCAATGATATGGCAGACAAATTTGCAAGAAAAGGCGCGGCCTCAATGATGATAGGCCCAGAACCTTTCTGTGGCAAAGAAACTCTTTCCATTCCAATGAACAGCGCAAAAGGAAAATGAAAGAGAACTCTATTGGGAAAGGTTATTATAATCTAAACTTACAAGCTAAAACGCTTCAAAGATTGCAGAGTACAATAAAAAACAACCTAAGAATTATTACGGGATTATTGAACGGTCAGTTTAGATAAAATAATGACCTAACAATAAAATAACAATCCAACTCAGACTGCATATACTGTAGAGAAGAGAAAGAAACTGTAAACCATGTGCTTTGGGAGTGCCCGGCACTGATGCACAAGCAGAAAAAACACTTAGGTGGGTATATTATGGATCATAAGTATTCACGACTAGGAAAAATTGGGTCTTTACTGTCTTTCATTAAAGAAATCGGACTTGGAGAAATACTCTAATCCGACTAAGGGTCAAAATTGATCTTTTAGGTTGCAATGCACTATCCCTTTTCTAAATAATAATAATAATAATAAATTAGATGAATTTGGCTAGATGTTTTTTGGCTTAGATAAACTGTAACTTCTATGTAGTTTAGAAGTCTCAGCTCTTGATTTTAACTCTCCCCCTAGTTACTGGTAAGTAGTTTCCTACAAGATTGAAATATTCTTCAATCATTTCAAGGGGTGATTTTAATGGGGTAAAGTCACACATAACTGTAATCTACGCATAGATTCCCTAACAATAACAGATGAAGCATTTTGCGAGTCTAAGTAGTGTGTGAAACTGTGTTTCAGAACCGATGTCACTAAGTCGATGCCACTTTTTAATGATTTTTTCAACACATATTTTTATATTACATTAGCGATTTAAATCAAGACCATACTATAAGGGCGATGCTTCTTCTTTATTTAAAAAAAAATAATTAATAGTTGATCTGGTGTATTGAAGAAAGTTAGTATAAAAATTCTACTCCAACAGGTTGGCTAATCGAATACGATCAAAAAAATCGTGTTTCATTTGAACCCAAATTTTACGAGTATATAATAATAATTATATATTATAATAGGTGGACTTTTTGAAATTATTAATCCTTACAAATTGTATTTATATTACATAGTAGCATACATAGACTAGGATTTGTACTTTACGAGTAATATTATTGCATGTATTAATACCGATTGTAGCATGCATATTCTATATTGTTTACTTGGAATTATAGTGCCACGTTCAAATTGTTTGTTTTTTTTAAACCAGACACACCTCCACAACTACCAAATGTTGTGACTCGTACGTAAACAACATTAAAAGCTGGCTGGACTTTACCTGCATGCGATACTTGCTCTGAGCTTGAGTGATCACTGCCTTTATGTAAATCAAGCTCCTCTTACAGTGTCTAATACGAGTATGTGTTTCCATTGGAATTAGCATATAAAATATGACAATATTTAGATGTGAAATTAATTGACTTACTGATCTGCATTTGTTTTAAAAGTTTGCTTTTTACTTGTATTTGTTAGATTCGTTGATACAAGAGTACATGTCAGAGATAACGTAACTAATGAGCACAAGTTCTGTAAGAGTCACTCAACTTCATTCAGTTCGTGTCTGTATCGAAAGCGCGCATTTCACTATTGCAGTTCTAAATTGATCGTGATAAGAGCTATTTGCTGACCCGACATTCAGGTTACCTTTGATTTTCACTTAATCGATTTTTTTTAAATTTAAAAACAATTCGTAATACTCGTATATAAAAAATTTATATTATTATTCCTCCACAGTAGAAACATAGAAACTTTGAAATCATGCCAAGACTTTACTTTGTTGCCGTTGACGTGGGCACTGGCAGTGTTCGAGCAGGCTTAGTAACTTCCGATGGCAGAGTGCTTAAACAAATGGTGAAGGAAATTCAAACCTGGAATCCTCTACCGGATCATTACGAGCAATCTACAGACAACATTTGGGAGGCAGTTTGCTATTGTGTAAAGGTGAGAACGTTATATTGCATTATTCTATTATTACGCTGATAAGCTGAATACACTATTTGACCTTCAGCAGTAGTTTTCTTCAATTATCTGAAAATAATTTTATTGATTAGAAATTAAAGATAGTGCTCATCAGTCAGTACGTAAAGAGCTATATTTTTATTCCAATGATTATTGGTAGCAATTTGCAGATATATATAATATGTGTAAGCAAGATGCTGAAATATTAACATTAAACCACTATTTGACAAGCCAAAACGTGTTGCGGAGGCGAAATATATCTAAGGTATTTTGATAAGATAGGTACTAATATTTTCTCGAAAATTAATATCGTTAAAGACGGATGTATAATATTACAATATGATTGCTGGTCCGGTTCGGTGGTTGAAAAATCTTGCTTTAGATTACCTTAACAAAAACTATACTACAGACACTCAGGATACAGATACAATGTAGCTAGAAGTATTTCTATTTACAAGTTATAGAACATGTATGTAATTAAGTAGGTGTAGGTGAAAGTAAAAATTGTCTTTATATATTTAGAGACTTAATCTTACTCTTCCCCAATGAGAACAATTATTCTACAAAAAGTGTTTACATAATGTTGTTATCCTCCATCATATTCATTCGAGTATGGAAGACTCTCGTTTATATATAAATTTAACATTATTATTATCTACTCATCCTCAATGAATTCATTTAAGGGTTACTGAGAACAGCCTGTGCTCATAATTGTTCGATATTACCATCATTGTTGGCATATTAAGCTTATCATACAATGTAATTAGATTGAAAATTTTTATACAATTATCTTCAGATCAATCTAAAAATGCGACCTGCATTAGGGTTATTAGTATAAAGTATATGAACAATATACGTATAATATATATTAGTATTATATCTTCACGTTCCTGTGAAGCGTAAGTAACAGTAAGCTATAAGGGTTTAATACAGAATATAAAGATAACGTGAGGAATGAATTAGTGAAATTTAGAAGAGTACAATTTTATATGTATTTATTATATTATTTTATCCATTTTAATAATATAATTATAATTATTAGTAAATACTCCTATATTATTATTTATCGTAGTTATAATAAACTATAATTGGTTATAACTTATAATATAAATAAAACTTTTCTGCAGAATGTAGTCAAAGGAACACTTTTTGATGAAATAGCTGCCATATCATTTGACGCGACGTGCTCGCTAGTCGTACTTGGTGAAGATGGAAAGCCCCTATCTGTGAGCACAACACAGAATCCTGAGCAAAATGTAATGCTTTGGATGGATCATCGTGCACAGAAAGAGGCAGAAAGCATAAATGAAACAAATCATCGTATGCTGAATTTTACTGGAGGTAAAGTGTCTGTAGAGATGGAAATGCCTAAGTTGTTATGGTTAAAGAAAAATGCATACTTATCTACATGGACGAAAATATGGCGTGTTTTTGACTTGGCAGATTATTTAACATGGCGCTGTACTGGCTGTGAGTCACGTTCTTTATGTTCTGTTACATGCAAATGGAATTATGATGCAATGAATATGCGTTGGAGCGAAGATTTTTTAGATTCTATAGGATTAAATGACCTAACGGCAAACTTAGATATATTAGGAACGGATATCCTTTTACCAGGTCAAGCTCTTTCTAATGGTGTAAAAAGCGAAACAGCTCCAGAATTGGGTGTAAAGATAGGAACTGTGGTCGCTACACCATTAATAGATGCCCACGCAGGAGCTTTGGGCTTGTTCGGTTGTCATCCAGAGTTAAATGATTGCTCCCCGCAGATGCGTGATATAGAATACAAATTAGCCATAATATGTGGTACTTCTACGTGTCACATGAGTCTCACAGCCATGCCATGTGTAGCACGTGGAATTTGGGGCCCATATAAAAATGTCATAATACCTGGTTATTTTTTAACCGAAGCTGGACAAAGTGCGACTGGAATGCTATTGGATTATATTATTAAATCACATCCACAATATGAAATTATAAATGGAAAATTAAATGAAAATGAGTATGCAAATCAATTTTTTACAATTTATGTATTATATGTAGTTTTTTCTTAGGAATATATATACATATCTTAATAATGTTTTGGATAAAGCAGCCTTCAACCGTGGGATGGATGATCCATGTTATTTGACAAAGGATGTGCATGTTTGGCCTGATTTTCGTGGAAATCGTTCTCCAATTGCAGATCCTAATTTAAAAGGCATGGTATGGCAACATAAAATATTTTAGTATTGAAACAAAATAAAACAGAATTGTATATATTTATCATATCCATTGTAGATATCTGGCGCGGATATAAATGGCGATGAGGAATCGTTAGCAATTTTATATTTAGCATTTGTTCAATCTCTTGCGGTATGTCTGAAAAAATCATATTTTTTTATTATTAGACTTTATGCATGCTCTTGTTTTTTCTACAGTATGGCACACGAGCCATTATTGAACATATGGAAATCCATGGTCGACACGAATTTAGTTCAATGATTTTTTGTGGTGGCGTAGCTAAGAATTTAGTTTATTTGCAATCTCATGCCGATATATGCAAACTGCCAATCGTCATTCCATATGAGCAAGAAATGGTGCTCGTAGGTACTGCTATATTAGGCGCATGCGCAGCGAAGGTTTTTAACAACTTAGAGGTAAGCCAAAAAATTAATTAATCAATTATGTGAAAAATCATTCCTAATATGTGTTGTAGGAGGCATCGAAATTCATGGGCGGCTCTGGACAAGTAACGGATTCTAATAGTTTAACATACGAGTACCACGATCGTAAATATGCCGTGTTTAAAGAAATGGTCAAGGATCAGAGAAAATATGAAAGCTTGATGATGGGTTGAGATTTTCGTTTTATTGGATCACATTTTTAGTCACCATATATTTACTCTCGGATGTATATTGATACAAAGTACACTTAAAATTTCAATAAAAATATTTTCAAAACATAACAATTGTGTTCTACTCTTACTCTTTTCAATTTTAAACAAAATTTAAGTTAATTTAAGTTAATTGAAACTCACACTTAACATTTAAACTATAAATGCGGCAGATTTGCTGCCAATTTGGGAGCGGCACACAGGACAAGTTTCCCGAATTTTCTCCGAACAATCTTCACAAATGCACACATGGCCGCACGGTAGAATGATTATCTGAAAATTAAATGTTAAAATTAAATAAAAGTAGTATAAATAAGATTATCTTTCTAATGTCTACTTATTTTTTATAAATTACTTTAGGTATTTTTAAAATTATGTGGAGATTAAATGTGTTTTTAATTTGTTTTTTATGCAAAGATACTGATTAAGATTTAATCGTTATAAATTAAAAGAAAAAATATAAAAGTAGGTGCAATTGGAACAATAATGAAAGCGACTCCTAATATTGACATTACTTTCTTAATATTATTATATTAATACCTTGCTAATTTTTATTAATATTATATATATAATATTATTAATAATATATAATATTATATTTTATTATTGCTAATTATAGACAGGACATTTATGTATCTTGAAAATTCACTTTATTCACTGTTTGGCTGACCATACAGCTGTTTCGAGAATTGCCACATAGCCATCATCAGTGGTCTTGGAAGTATTTATTAAACACACTTAATTATTCGTAAATAATTTTTTAAGACAGCAAGTACCAAATATTGAACTCGTACTCTGCCAAAATTGAAGCTCAGAGTCAGCGTTCATTAGTCAAATGACCCAAAGCCGTACTTGACTTGTATGTTCGAACTTGAAGTTTAACTAATCTGTTGTAAAAGTTCATTAACAAATGTACTTGCTGTTATATTAATACGAAATCATAAACCAGCTGTAGAATAATTGCATTAATTACATTTGTATTTTTAATTGTCAAATTAAATAATGTTTGATTTAGTAAATTTGTTTAACTTTAAAAATGATTTATAAAATAAAATTTCGTGGGCAGGTACATATTGTTTTTGTAATTTGTTAAAGAAACAAAAAAACCGTGGATGGTTTTCAAACCCCACTGTAAATATTTCTTCACACCATTAAATACTAATTATAACAAAATATAAAAATATAAATTAATTAGTTTATAGCTATTTAACAATATTTTACCTCCTTTGGATTCATGGAGCATACAACACATAACTGATCAGTGGCAACTTCTGTTGGTCGATATTTCGCACGGCGTAGACGTCGTTCACTTTCAAGTTGTTCTCTAATTTTGCGCTCGTCGCGTTCCTGTTTTTTTCTCAAATAAAATTTGCGTAACATATAACCAACCAAAACTACTGATATCGTACCACAAATAATAACTTTGACTCTGTAATTAAATATAAATAAATAGACTCAAAACAATGGCAATGTAATGATAAAATATTTTATGTTCAAACCTACAGAACAGAATTCTTGGCATCTTCGAATTTTTTAATCAATGTACCCTTAGAAGCTGTAGTTAGCAATAGTGGACCTGTGCTTGATGGTTGTATGCGCAACGTGTTGCCTTCTAATTCCATTTCACCAATTGCTGTTATAAAGCTGCCCTCCCGTAATACTTCCTCAGTTGTTTGCATGCCCTTTTCCCGTACACCAGTAAAAAAGCCCAATATATGATCAAAAAAGGATAATTTTGATGCTTCGTAATTATCATAAATAATATCCATATCCAATATTGGAGCTGTAAGTGCATCAACTACTTCAACTGCTGCATCATTATTAACAAGCTCGAAAGGCATTTCGTTTGATGAAACATGTATTAATTTTCTTTGCTCGGTCCAAAATCCAGCAAATCCACGAGCTACACGATGTTCACTGTTTAAAAAAATTCACTTGAGCTATTGTTAGTGTGTTATGTAATAAGATTTTTACTTCAGTTTCATAATTTGTACAACACCCGTGACTGCAGGTGCCATAACACTTCGTAGCGGCACGCCAAGTGGACGTACAGTGCCGCGTATGACAGCATAAGGAATTTTTTTGTCCTCTTGTTTTGCCACATAGTCCTTAAGATCTTTGTTTATCGAGACCGTTTCAGCATTCTGTGAACAAATTGTATATATGTTAAATATTTCTAAAATACATAACTCATGCAATTACCTTAAGTAGTTTAATATTTTGCTTGTAGGCCACATATTCTCTGGCACATAAGCCGAGTATTAATAAGTCCAATCCAAGCGCGATTCCCTCGTTAATAAAATCCATTTTATTTCGCTTAACTTTGGTACTGCTTTAATTCTAGTTTTAAAAGTAATTTGCAAGTTTTTAAAACGATCATCCCCTACAAAGTCTTCCTAAATTTTCAAGAGCACAGCTGATTTGAGCATTTCATATAAATATTTTCAACGAATTCAAAAGATGTTTCGTGCTTCTTCTTCTCAAAGGAGTGTTACCAATAGTTCAAATAAATACAGGTGGGGAGTACAGCAGATAGTGCTATAATAATTTGGAATTACGTGTAATTTTTATTTCCAACAAATAATTATGAAAAAAATATTCTAACAGTAAAATCAAGCAGTTAATCAAAAATTACTTTTTTAATCTGTATTATAAAGTGCAGGTATATTCAGAAATAATTTGTATTAATTTTACTATTTGATATACTACACAAGAATATATACGAATACATATGCCGCGCTTTGTTTTTGCCGTACATGCAGTATGTATGCGACCGTGCATAAATTGTTGTCAAAATCAAAGTAGAAACTAAAATAGAAAATACGAAACAGTGTATTTTCATTTAGATTTTGCTTTCTATGGTGAATAGAGACAGTTGTTCTCAACGAGTACAGAACTTTGCCAAAACTTTTTTGTAGCTCATAATTTTATCAGTTGGAATTTAATAGGTTTTTTCAATTTTCAGTTTGAAACGGAAACATTTTTTTATTAACAAAAATAACTCATTTATTTTTGTAGACGTATTATTTTGTACTATTTACTAGCTAAAATATATTTTTAATGTTAAGAAATTTATATTTTAAAGTTGTTGTTATATATATTATGTATGTATATATTATTATGTTGAGGCTAGTTGAGTCAGTGCACTTGAGCACTTTTAATCTCTATTAACTGCGAGGTTTCTTCATTGCCCCTCTCCTTGACTGGATTATTATTTATCACTTCATCAGACTAACCAATAACTGTTATCATTCTAATCAATCTAATCTTCAATCTAATCTAATCTTGAGGTCCATGAGGATGGCATTTGTCGTAATGTACCATGGCAACTTAAAAAGTCTTCTCAGAACCTGGTTTTATGCGATTTCCAGCTGGCGAATAGTACTGTTTGAGGCCTTCTGAGCGCTATACACCCATATAGAAGTGATGGTTGAATTATTTGGTTATATATCAGCTTTCTCTTCCTAGCATTAAGATTTTCATTTTCGAATAGCGGTTGAAGGTGATGAACAATTTTGTCACAGCTAATTTCTTTCAGTTAAACATGTTCACCGTGATATTTAGATATGTAATGCTATCCTCCCAAATCACCATATCTCCCACTCTCACTCTCGATGGGTTCTGTTTCTTCCTACGCATAATGAACAGATTCTTCGTTTTTTCATTATTGATTTTTATTTTCCATTTCTGGAAATACTTCAGAATGAGGTTTTAATGCTATTGAAGTGTACTGATTATATTGAGAGCATGGTTATTCGAGTATAGCATACACGTGTCGTCAGCGTATAACGCCAGTGTCGAGGGACCTAACATTGGGATAACGGACGCATAAATATTGTAGAGAGTGGGGGAAAGTGGCGATCCCTGAGGAACCGCTGGTTTTATAGTTCGAGCTGACGAGAGAGCGCTGTTGATTTTCGTGCTAAAGGACCTTTCATGCAGAAAGCTGCCAATGATCTTAGTTAGCCTACCTGAAACACTTAGATGAGGCATTTCTACTATCAGGCCTCTACTTGGTAAAAACTGATAGGGGAAACTCTTATCGTCCTTTCCAGAACTGCAATAGAAATAATAGAAAGAAAGATTCAATATTCTACTATGGTTACCTTATCTGTTGTGACCAGTGAGTAAACTCACCACAGGACTGATATCTCTACGGGGCATTTCAATAAAAGTAATGAATTTCCTTTTAATAAAACCTGATCAATTTGCATACAGATGCCTTCATATCGTTGAGTCTTCCAATCTTTTATTAAAAACTTCAGCACAACAATAACTTAGCAACAATTTGCATATGAATTTTTATTACACTTAAAGTTATCCAATATCATCTGTACCGTCAAAATTGCTGACCTTGCTGTGGTTGCTCTCTTGATCTTTCCTGACTGCATGCGATATAATAAAATTGGTGGCAATATTGAACAAGATTATATAGGCTTTTTGTATTCCAAAGCTCATTTTGATACGCCTGGTAGTATATCTCGTAAACAACACCAAACAATGTGTATCTGGGTAGAAAAACCTCCACATTTGACATGCTTTTGATAATGCTAGTCTCAGGGATATCGAACCCAAAAATGTTCTTCTTAGTCATAATCAGTCTAATTACTCAGTTAATCTTCTTTGATATTGTTTTATACACGTTCCGTTAAAATTCCTTCCAATTGACAACAAAGTTCTCAATGAATGTGGTAGTATATTTACTTCTTTTGAGTCTTTTCCCCGTTACTACTATCCCATGTTTTGATACTCTCTACTATCTCGCTTCGTTATACAGTTTCAGCTTCATACTTTACAATTATTTAGGCTCTCTGTCTGATATAGACTCTTATTCTAACATCATATTTCCATTGCAGTTAAAACTACTTATATTAATGAAATTAAGATTTATTCGCTTTCATTGGTATAAGCAGATTTATGCATGTAAAATAGCTTGTTTGTTTGCATTTTAATTTCCCTTGTAGGAAATTTATTTTTAAAAGTTGCATTTGATTTTTTTCGCTTTAAATCAGTTTATTCATTTATAATGAGTACATTTATATAAAAGTTCTTTATTATATATATTATATACATTCACATTAGCGGTCTTAATGAGCAAAACTGTCTAAATGAGACAAGTGGAAACGTGGTATAAATCTCAATCCTCTAAACATCAAGATTTTACACTTGACTATTGAAATGGGATTTTTAGGGTCTAAATCTTAATAGTTCAATTCCAGAAATTTTTTGCTGTTCCGAAGCATAGATTATTCTTGTGAATTTAAATTCCACATGGTGGTTTTCGATTATTTTCACTAACCTTATAAAAGCGAGATTCACGAAACGCGCAAAAGTGTCGCAAAAAATGAGATGAGTTGGGGAATGACAGAAGAATGTACTTCAAAAATAAAGAGCAGTGATAATAGAAAGTGATGATTTGAGTGGTTCATAATAATCTATTATCCAATCTGAAGTTGCAGGTAATGTCATTTACCATATATAAAATATAAAATTATTTTATTTTATTATACATAACATATAGTGTTATAAGTATGTGCTAAGGTACTTCTTTATATTTTAACAATAACACACTTTTAACTGTATTCAATATTTTTTTTAAAATGTTTAATGTTTGCAGCGCAGATCCGCCACTGTGTATTTAGACTCAAAAGATACAAGATAGCAGTAAGTATTTACCATTTGAAGATTGTGGACATACCCATATATATATGTATAAGTAAATATTGATAAATAGTAAATGGGGCTCTCTGATGTATTCCGTTGTCAAATATTAAATTTCTTTTCTGAGCAAACAACTCAAATTGATTTTGTCATTCTTATGGATTTTTGTGTTTTCCAAAACAACCAAACATTTTGGAAAGAAGAGGTTTTGTCTGTAATTAAGCGGTTGTGGCACTTCAGATCACTCTAACCTTTCGAAGCTGTAACACGAAGTGTTTGGGAATTTATTTATTTCTTGGTCTATTTAAAAAGTTTTGCAAATAAATAAAGAAATTTTGAACAAAAAAAAAAAAAAATAATGTGGAGTTTATTTTTGATAACTTTGGTAAGTTTTCTTTTTGGTATAGAATAAGAATTAACAGATTCCTCAACGTCGAAAGCAATTTTAAAGCATTTACTATAATATAATCTTAATTTTTGCATATTCATTGCAGCTATTCAGCAATCAAGTTTTCAGTGCACGTATGCTTTCTTCCAGTTCTCAACGCATCACGACACGTGAAACGAAAAGCTGTGAAAGTCGTCAAACCCCTGGACCGATATGCGAATCTTGTGAGTTATTGTCTACTTGCGTCAATCACTCGAGTGGGTGGGTTAATATACCTGTCGAATCATGCGACACGCAGAATGGCTTCTACTGCAATGCGCGACTTTCAATGTGTTCCAATATTACTGGTCCTTGCCATCCTTTCGGTTCTCAGAATAATTTCCCTTGTACAACGCAAGGTATATTCCCAGATCCGTATGATTGTCAAAAATTTCATATGTGTTACTTCGTGGAGTCAGCTTTAGTAGCCGCTAATGTAGAATGTGGTGGTGATAAAGCTTTCAACGCTGCTACTGGACAGTGCTCATTAACAATTCAAGATGAAATTTGTCAAAAGGAACAATTTGAGTGTGAAAAGTCAGGAGACGCACATGCCTGGCCAAGTAATCCTAATATTTTTTATATTTGTAAGGCCACATCAAACCAAAACTCAGAACAGCTATTTTATCCCACTTTGTATCGGTGTGCTGATGGTGAAATATTTGATGGATACTACTGTAGAGTTATGCGACCGATTGAACCTACAACTACAACAACTACAACAACTACTTCAACTATTTCAACTAGCGGTGTTAGTACCACAGTGACAACTCCAAGTACATTGCCTAGAACCTGCACAAATGTTGGATTAACTGCAGATCCAGATGATTGTCATAAATATTTTTATTGTTCTGCTGTAAATGGTGAGAAACGGCACATGGAATGTCCACGCGGCACGTATTACAATCCGCAATTGGTTTCTTGTACGATAGGAAATTGTTGAGCTCATGTAATCCACAAACAAAATGTCCAAAATATATTAATAAAAATAAACAATTGAAATCAATTTATTTATACTTTCAATTATTAGTTTGTATCTGAAAAGGTTTAACGGTCTATTCTTGAAAGATTTTATTATTTTTATTATGGATGGTACAGTAATACACAACGCTCTATAAACTCTATTGTATTCTCTCTGAAGTAATGCTACTTGTGAAAAAGTTGAAGATATTATTGTAACTAACAATAATAGAGACAATTCTTTCCATTTTTTGGTATTTCAGTCATTTTAATCCACAAAGAATGCACAGAAATCAGTTCCTGGTGGGACCATAGTGGCGTATATAGATTGATTTTTTATTTTGATCGCATTCAGATCATAATAGCACTAAAAAATACATATGTGTAAATATATTTTTTTTTATTCATATTTCAAAAGACTATTTTTATTTTACACTATTTAGAACTTATATTAATAAAAATACTCGCGCCTTTATTTATATTTATATATATAAACCTATGTTTGTCTAACAACGTGTTCAAGTAAACTAACAACAGATGTTGTTAAAGAAGAGAGTGTTTGCTTTTTTTCGAGTATAGGGAAAGCATCAAAAGTCACTTCGTGAGACCTTAACCTACAGAAATCAATCAAGGAAATATTGAAATAATCAAGGGACTATGTAGAGGTAAATAAACTTACTTCTTATAAATTAGAGTTGATCTAAATTAGAATGTGAGGACGATACTTTAGAAAAAAGGTAGGTAAATAAGAGCGGTGGGGATATTGTGGATGCGTTACTGGTGAGTTACTAATACACTCTGTAATTGCAACTGCTGTGACGGAAAAGTATGATGGGTAAGAAGATGTATTAGAATTATTCGGTATTTGCTATTTGCTGAACCTAAATTGGCCATATTATATAGATTGTAATATCATTCTGTTGAAATCACATATCTTCCACATCCACATCTTTAATTTCGGCCCAAAAAAATATAAATTGGTAATCACATGGTTGTAGTGATCAGCATTGAGAGTTTGTGTCACACTTGCGCTATTTCTCAGTCTATTTTCAATAAACACCTATTTTAATTCTAGATATTATGCTACATCAGAGAAGAATGGAGGCGTATTGTAGAGGAGGCAATGCTCCATCCTGAACTGTGATGCCAAAATGATGATGATGATGATGCTAAATCGTTTGGTACAAAAAGTCGTCTACATATTGTAGTAAGTTCTTACAGTTTAAACAGGATCTGTGATTGTCTCTAAATTGGCTATCCCTAAATGAAATATGATAGTTCTGTTAAATACATGCCACTAAAACAGTGCTACCAAATCAGTATCATGAAATGGATGAAACGATTGCTTTTCAGTTAAGATACCTTCAATGTAAATAGCTATAATAAGCAAGTTATGGCATGGGCATATGAATCATCAGACATTCATCAATGTCATTCTTAAAGTCTTTTTTATCTTTATCTTATATTATCTTCATAAACATGCAAGTAATAAAAAAGTTTAAAATTATTACCCATTTTTTTGAAATTTTTACCAAACTTCATATCGAATCTGCCACTGTTAGATACAAGTAATATATGTAAGATATTTTCGATACAAGATAACAGCTTTGGGTATTTACCATTCGAAGATTGTGGGAATAGTTTTGAGTAAATATTGATAAATAGAAAGAGGTATTTTTAATGTATTCTATTGCCAAATATCGAGTTTTTTTTTTAAATAAACAACTTAAATTGATTTTGTCATCATTATTGCTTTTATTTTCAATTTTCAAACAGAATTAAGATATTTTGTTTGCAATTCCGATTTTGTGGTACTTCATATCAATTTAACCTTTTAAAGCTATTACAAAAGGAATTTTGAAATATAAATAATTTTTTATTTATTTTTGTCTCAGTTTTATAAAAAGTAAGTTAATGTAAAATGAAATAAATAGAAATAAATTTCAATAAATTTCTGCCTGCCTTATACTCTCTTCACACGGTAAAGTGTAAGCCAGCAGTTGAAAGTTATTTTAAGTAGGTTTTTTAATGGCGTTTCTACTTATCGTTGCTGTCCAAAAAATTGTTATAAAAGAACAAAGATTTTTTTAAAATCGTACCTCCTCTCCTACTTTATCACAATATTTCAGGCAGAAATTTTTGCCACATGGATTTCCACAAAAAGGAAGTTTATATACTCTAGTTTGTAAGTTTATATACTCCAGGACATTCCAATATAATGTAACGGATGTGCAAATGAGCTATTTGGACTGGGCGCTTCTTGTATGAAAACTCCTGTTTCAGTCTTTGCTTCTGCTAGTTACAGCCGAAAGTTTATTTATGTTAATTTTTTACGAGAGGCAAATAGGAAGTGGGTTCATACTTCTCAAGTAGTTAGGTCAAGAACTACATGATCACTTTACTCCAATTGTAAAACCAGGCTATGTCTATGTCCAGGCTTGTCTAGAACCAGGCTTGACCATACTTAGAACATTATTTACATTCCACAAATCCAATCATTATTTGATAATCACATATGCGATTGAATTGGTTGCTCCAGCAGAGACTTCTATTCTCAAGAGAAGCTATCAAGAGAACCCGAAAAGTGGGGGTATATAATCTTCATGTAAATGTTTAAAGAACATTAATTACAATTCTTTTCTTTGATTTGCTTACATGCTTGACTACAGTACTAAATAAGGACTTCTTCAATTATCTTATTCTTAGTATATTGTATTAGTCAATAGCATAAGATACAACTCATTCATTTTTTAAATAATTGTTAAAAGTTAATAAAGAAAAAATCAAAAAAATTATTATTTATGTGTAGTATATTAAACTGAGAGAAGTTCTGGAAAATGTCTCTGTCTCTCGATATTTTAAGAGTTGTGCATAATGTCATTGGTATTTTTGAAATATTTTTAGTTATACTCACAGTATCTTTAAAACTTCATTATCTTAATTAGTTTCTTCGGTAATAAAAAGAACAATATTTTGATTGTCTTATCTTAACGTAAAAATACAAGTTTAAGGTACATCTATTTAAAAAACAAATTACAATTCAAGAAGCTATAAAAATCTTCATTACCGAAAATTCGCGACAGTTTAATTGAAGAAGCGTTTATATGATCAACATGAGAGTTTCAAACCTCCTTACAAAGGTATAAACACATATTTATATAATTAATATGGGAGCCTCTAAAGACTTTTTCAATAGTTATTGTGTACAGTTGGTCTGCTGGCAGTGGCATTTGCCGATAATCCTTGTGCTAAAATAAAAAACGGTCAGTTCATCTGTGTTGATTGTGAAACTTTGGCGGTGTGCTTACATGAAGACGATCAGTGGCATACAATGACAGTTCAACAATGTGACGGCGACAGACAGCTTTATTGTGATGAAGAAGCAAGGCATTGTACTAGACAGAAGACATGTGGAGTGCCAACTACTTCTTTTCAATGTCAAAATCCTGGCCTATATCCAGATCCATATAACTGTAAATACTACCACGAATGCAACACTTCAAATGAACACATACGTCATGTGTGCCCCAACAATTATGGTTACTCGGTAACTGCAAAATCTTGTGTTGTTAGATCCAATCAACAGGATTGCAAAAATATACAGTTTAAGTGTGAACATAGTGGAGACATGGGTGCCTGGCCCGAAGATCCAAATATTTACTACATTTGTGTTACTAAACATTTGAAGAACACAAAGTTAACATATCCACTATTGTATCGTTGTGATGATGGATATATTTTCACAAACGGCAAATGTGTAATTTCAGAGTCTAAAGTAACAACACCAACCCAGGCTGAAAAAACCACAGTGAACACCAGTTGCATTGCAAATCAGCTGATTGCGAATCCAACAAATTGTCATGGTTATTATTCCTGCAAAAATGGAGAACTTAAACCATATGATTGTCCCAATGGTTCATATTTTGATAGCACTAAACTGACATGTGTAAAGGGTAATTGTTAATCGGCGTTGCTACAGAAAACTATACAAAATTGTAGTACTCCATTAGGACTTACATTTTTTGTATTACAATTTACTAATTATTAAATTACTAACAATAAAATAGAAGTTCTTAGCAACTAAGTTCATTTTATATACTGCGCTAATAATTCGACTAATGTCGGGTTCGATATTAAATGGATTATTAATAAATATATTTGATGGATTATATTCAGAAAAATATTATTAAAATGATAATAGTGGAAGTTTAACCCGAAAGGATTTTAGAATATGGAACGAATTACGAGTATTCTCCATTATTATTATATAAGATTTGTACGAGATATCATATTATATATATAATATAAATAGCACAATTCTTTTAGTAACTTACATAGTATGATGTAATTGTTCAGCTATAGATTTGTCTTTAGAAATAAATTGGCAATATTATAATTAAAAGAACATACGTTATATTACAATCCTCAGATTTATGAATATACCGGTGTCTCTATGCTTGTTAACTCTGAAAATAGAAAAATTTTTTGACTGTGATGACATGTCGTTAAAAATGTCGTCGATAGTTTATATCAACTCAGATGTTTACTGAATATATCTGCTGGAATTGATGTGAAAACTTTTCAATTAAATGATTATGATACTCTAGGAAATATTTACCGCGTTCATATTCATTATAGCTTGCTGGTTAGTTATGGCCTCTTTCTTAAATAAGAATGAAACTATTTCTTAACTAAATTAAACTAAAATATACAATATGTACTTTCTGTACTTACATATATTATTATTCACCCTATGCACCCTATTGCCCATTTTTGATCCATTCCAGCAGATCTCAAGGCTTCTTTCTGTAGTATCTATCTATCAAACGATGTTCAGTATAGGTACTAAATATTTTAAATTATAGATATAATGATATCGATGTTTACACAAGGAGTGTTGAATATCTAAACCTTCATTGATATAGTTGAGAATTTTTAAAGAAACTCTCTTATTCTAAAACTCTGAAGAAATGCTTTTATTTTTATAGTGGGTGTGCATATATAAAAAAAGAATTAATAATTAAAATTTTATAAATATTTTATTATTTTAAATCTATATTTTAGTACATCTTTCTGTTCTAACAACAACAAAAAATTTTTACATAGATAGTATAGGATTAGGAAGAACACAATTAAATTTTATTTAAAGTTAATTAGATTAAATAAGCGAGTATTATAAAGGATATATTCTTTTAAAAATATACGAGCTTGATTTTATCTCTATTGTAGGGTTTCTAAGATCTTTAATTAAAGAAGGAAAGATAAATCTATAAGATGTTAAGATACATGTGATGCGCAAATAAATTTAAAATATTTTAAAATAGAGAAGGTCTCAACGGTCCAACAATATTAAGACAATAATTAAGCAATTAAAGTTTTTAACAATGATAGGAGTAACCAATGCCTAGTATTTTTGATAGATTATATTAATTATACTACTATAGTATAACTAAGAATAGAGTTACAATTCTAAATTCAGTCATCACAGTCTCGCACAACCGGGTGTAGTACTATTGAGGCACCATTACAGCCAGTGCGCTCCGAAATAAAATCGTGGAAATTACTTTCTAAGGCCCACATGAAACGCTTGTAACCTGGTAAAACCTGTAAAATATGAGATGTTAATTTAAATTATATTTAATATTTAATATTTAAATTTACCTGTGTTGATAAACGGCAGTCACCACCGCGTTGAACTTCCTGTAAGTTGGCTACTTTAAAGCATGTTTCCGAGTCCCACATATAAATGTCATTTTCGCCCTTATAACGGAAGAATAATGAGGTGCCACCATCAGCACCTAATAAAACCATTTGTTTCCCAAATGGCTTGGGACCAACATCAATAATAGCACCAGCACCTTGGCCAACACGTAAATGATGACCTATAATTATTCGTTAAACAAAAAGTTATTTGCATTGTAGGCAAATATTGGTGTCTTGAACTTTACCTTTGATTGAGTATAAACGTGGTGAGCTTAAGTAGGTGAAGAATAGTGTTGAAGTATCGTCGGGCCTAACCGTTAATGCCATGTAGAGCACATCTTGTGTTGGCGCTGTTGCTTTGGGTAAAACAATACGATAGGATTTAGAACCGGTAATATCATAGACGAGTATAGAACGTGCGCCGGCATCAGCTACGTAACTGTTGTGAAATGTTTAAGTATTTTATAGATTTTCTTAAAGCAATAACAATTTTTTATTTATTCTATTATTTATATTATATAGCACAGTGAATTATGTTTCTTATTTGTTTTCTGTCCATTAATGATTTCCCAAATCGAATGCTTTTACAATGTCAAAAATATTTTCAATATGAAATCAATTTCTCATAGCCAGTAGGAAAACACAGACTAGCAGGAAGAGTGCTTGTGCCTATGTCACTGCTAGCGCTGGTGCCATTGAGGCAATCATATTGTGTTTATTGACGCTTCCGTTTCCCATGGGAAATTCATGCTTATGAAACATCAAATAGAAATGTTTGGAAAAACTTTAAACTCCATGGGAAACAACAATCTGGCTTATTTTTATTTTCATCATGAGGCATCACATGGGGCGTCTGTTTGAGGTTTTCAGATACTTGTATTTTATTTATTTTTTGTCTGTCTTGTTTTCATATATTGTATATATACGAATACTTGTTTTCGTTATAAATTTTGTTATAGTCGTATGTAGCAGCTGTTAAGTTAACATTGGTATACTTATTCCCTGGAAAATCTTAAATCTACCTCTTAATTTTCCTCTTAATTTTCGTTACATGGAAAATTCTGCACTCAAATGTATTCAAGTTGTCATAGTGTCGTAGTGAGTTTTGTGTTCTAGTCAAAGTCCCTTTTGCTCAATCAAATTTAAATCCAATTCATTACTTAAAAAAAAACAACAACCACAAAGTTTTCAATCTGTATTTGTTTGAGATACATTAGAAGATTTTTCTGTCGGGTTTTAGAAAATCAAACAAATACACATATTAAAGTGAATCTCAAAATTTTAACAAAATTAAGTCTGGGATAAAAAGAGTTGATTTTTTATTTTCAAAAGGAAAATAAAAGTTAGAGGTCTCAGTTTAGCGATTACGGATGACCTTAAACCATTCCACACATAATGAATTTTTGTGGAGTATAAGTCAATCGCAGAAGTTTTTCATTGATTGCAAAATATCTTAAGTAGTATTGTAGTAAGGAGTGCACTTGAATGCTCTTACTTAAAAGTATTTTACTTAATACACTATATACTTTTATAAACATAATTTTATTTAATTATTAACTTCTCTAAGTTGATTTTATCCTACAGGTAAGTTCTTGTATTGCCTTAATTATTTCTAGGAACTCACTGAAATCATAATGGATTTTTAATTAATCACTTACACAAACGGTTTTCCATCCTTTGAGTAATCCACGACAATGAATTGCAGACGGGAATCAGCTGTTACCAAATCACTCATGTCGATGCTTTTAACCACTTTGTTATCGGCTGTGTTGATGGCAACGATTTTCGGTCCACAACGGCGTATCGGCTGCTGTAAAGTATTAACAATGCCCACATCCAAAACCCAAAGGAGACCCTGCGTCAAGTGAAAGCAAGCAAACAACATTAATTGAAATTTATTACTGAAAAAAATTCTTGATATAAAAAGCAAATAATTAAAATTTATTAAAAAATTCTACAAATATTTGCGCTTAATTCCAGTTCAGTTCGATAAACTTTGACAAAAGTTTTGACGCTCGCAGTTAAAAAGATACATGACGGCATTAGATACATTTACTCGTATAGATACTGGAGTCGGGCACATTACGGTTGGTACAACATATGAATATACGATAGTACGAGTACCATATATGGACCCACACATGCGTAAATATTTAACATATAAAATTATCATAATAAATGCTCATATTAACAAAATAATTTATTTCGCTAATAATTATCGTAAATATTTTGTTAAACAAACTTGCTTAGCATGTAAAATTTCAGATTGGTAGTTATTGTTGTTGTTAGAGATAAATTTGGCAAAATTTGGTAAAAATTTATAAAAATATTTATAGGAGAATTTCCGTTTGAGGCGGAAAATAGATTTAATATTCATACATTTTTGGTTATTATGATTTGGGTTGTACGGAAATGTTGGTATATGGCCATTAAGCTGGATTTCGTGGAGGCAAGTATGTATGTATGAAGAGCCTTCATATATTATTAATACAAATATTTGATTTCATTTTATAGAATTTGTTAAGCAAACGATTTTTGTTATGGAAAATATACACGTGTTTACGTTCCATAGTCTAGCAGAGATAATAAGTGAATATTCATTCATATCAACGCTGTTTTCATAAAAAACATTACACGATACGCTAAAGATAAACATTTTTTTTAATCAAAAACTAAATTTAGTACCTAGTATTATGAGCAGTGAATAAAAAGTAAATTTCATATCACGAGAGCAGTTTTTAAACAGAGGTGTTTGCAGTGAGGCCATCTATTGATGAAAAAATGCGTTGCTTGTTTTAAACATCACTATCAATTCACAACGATATACTGTACCTATCTGCAACTTTAAACTTTTCTAAGAAATGTTATTATCAGTTAAAAGAAAGTGTTTCGTAGATCCAGAAGCCACACAAAAGGGTTTTAATAACATTTGGGAGAACATTTTCACAGGCGATAGAGGATAAAAAGTTTAAGGTTTTAGATCATGGAAGTCACAGTTTTGAATCAGAAGGAGCCTATTTTTAATAAAATAATCGTTTTTATAAAACTTGTTTTTATTAAAAAACAAGAAGCAACTCCTAAAGTAATTACGCATTCTATGATTATAAGAATATAAGAATTTCTTATATAATTTTTATGATTATAAGAATTTAGAATATAGATAAAATACTAACCAAATTGCACTGCAGAAGTATCTAGTTATTATAGTATGAATTAAATTATTATTATGAATAATATTAATTATATTGATATGGTGATAAACTGGGAGGATAGCGTTAAATATCTTGGCATCACGTTGGACAAACGATTCACACGGCTTAAACATGTTTAACTGAAAAGAATTAGCTGTGCCAAAATTCTTCATTACCTCCAACCACTATTCAGAAATGAAAATCTCAATGCTAAGAACCGGAAACTGATATATAACCAAATAATTAGTCCGTCACTTCTATATGGTTGTGTAGCGTTTAGCAAAGTTTCAAACATTACTATTCACCAGCTAGAAATTGCACACGCCAGGCTCTGAGAAGACTGTTCAAAGTTCCATGGTACATTAGGACGAATGATATCCTCAGGGACATCAAGATTGATCCCATCAAAAATATATAAAGGATAGAGCCATGAAATTATTTGCGAAAACTAACAGACTTACCAACACCGCGTTATCAAATCTCAAAATGGTTACAGGCTCCTAGGGGAGGTATGCAGATCTGAGGTAAATTATTGCCTAGTCTGATGAAGTGATAAACAATAATCTAGTCAAGGTGTAGAGTATAAGTGCTTAAGTGCACTAGCTCAAAACAGCTTCAACATAGTACATAATAATTAATTATATACATAAATTTTAAATTTTTGACGAATATTTTAAGCAAACGGAGAAATAAATAATTATCATAAATTTATGTTTTGATTCTGAAACCAAAACTACAAATGGTATTGTGTTGGTCACATATAAGAAGGTACTTGAAAGGAATTTACATTATTGCCATTGACTGATAGTTAGATTTTGAATTATCATAAATCTGCATTATTATTCAAATACTGTAGTTTTGGTAATCAATTACTGTAAGTTTCTGTTTGGTGCTGCTATATTTAAAATATTTTTTAATGACAGTCTAAAATCAATACAATCTACATATTTTGCTATGTATTTATATCCAGCAATAAAAAATGAAATGAAAACAGAGGAAACCAACTGACGTTATATTCAACTCTCGAAAATAGTTCTATCGCATAAATAGGTACAAATATTATTTTAGTATAAATACAATTGTGAAATCAAACGGCCTTAAGTTCATCATATAAGTATGTCCTTGAACAGAATTTGTATAACAATTCTCAATCTGTGGATCAACACTGCGCTTTAGCTCAGAACAGAACACTATATGTATAAAGGAACTTTTTATGGCGACACTGCAATTTACTCTACCAGGAGAAAAAGGACAAGAAGAAGCTTAACTTGAGCAAAAGACATTGGGTTGATCTCATACTGCTAGAACCAACCTCATACATTGGCAAACAGAGTCCACATAACAAATGTTTATTTGTGAATCAAACAAAAATATAAGCAAGTACAATTGAACACGAACTTACATCAGAGTATTATATAAAGAACGGTAGTGCTCTTCAGCTCAGAACAGACAGAACACTACTAAGAGAAGTTTTCTATGCTGGTCACTCTACACGGAGAAAGAAAGTGAAAAAGAAAAATTTTGTCTCGTCAAACAGCATTGGGTTGATCACACACTGCTAGAATCAAGCTCATATGTTGGCAAGTCGGACTCTAAACAGAATTCACATACCATTGGCTTTTCTTTTGCTCTACAAGAAGAAAGAAATAAAATAAACTTATTTCAGGGGAATAAATTATGCTAACGCAACTAATGCCCATAATCTGGGCATTATCTGTTTCTATTGCTATAGCAGTAATAACTAAAAATTGTTACTTATAGATCATCCATTTAGTATAAGAACGATTAGCAAAAGACTGTGATAGATAAGTTAAGAAACCTGTAGAGAAAAGTCTGCTTAATGATAAGTGAAGCGATGAGAACCACCTCGACAGTAGCCCTTGAGATTGCATTGGGACTTCAACTACTTCACCCACTTGTCACAAAGGAAGCAATGACTTTTATTGCCAAGCTACAGTTGACTAGTAATCGATCAACAAGATCAGTCGAAAACTCCCTTTTAGGTAAAGTAATGCAAAAAGGAAAGGACTAAACCTCACCATATCTGAGATTTGTTCACCTAAATTTAACTTATGAGAGTAGATATAATATAATCATGTTTATTATTTGCACAATTGCAAGACACACAATAATGGACAGCGAAGAAATAGTATATTTCTGCTTGGAAGAAATATATCTCAACTATACAATTATTACTATAATATATATAAATGTAGTCAATAGATTTTAATCATTACCACAAAAACTAAAAGCAGAAAGCTCTTGTATCAAAATAAAAACTTTATTTTAAACACTATGTTAATGCCTGACAAACTGACAGATATAGATAAATTAATTGACATCATCAATCTCATTAGAAGTATGTATTCTATACTATTTCATATATATCAATTTAATATTATAAACCTTTTGATTTCGTTATTTAACTAAGTCCAATAGTTGAAGGCAATTATTGATTGCAGGACTTGTTTCTGGATTAATTGATTAATAATATAGGAATGGCTATATCAAATATAGTTTGCTAATGCTAATTGCTAATATAGGAAAAATATAAGATACGAAATATAGTAAACAGATTTGGTCATTAGGACAAGTACTCAAAACCAAAAAATTTTTATCAAAGTCGTAAGTTCATTTTAAAAACTATAAGGCATTGATAAACCAGTAGATATAGATAAATCAAATAATATTGCCAATCTAATCAGAAATATTTATATATTTTATTGTGTTTCGCATATATATTTTTTGATGTATTATAAATCTTTTGATTTGAAGTAAAATAAACTTAATTGTTGGTAATAAGTATTAACTACAGGACTACATTTTACATTAGATGAACTTTTAGATAAAACAATTAGTAGTATGGAAATGTCTGAATGATACAAATATCAATGTCTACATATTAAAGAAACCTATAGAAAAAAAATGATATGAGTACTGGACATGGAGTCACATGTCCAGTACTCCACGTGCACATGTCCACTAATGAAGACAACTAGCTTAGAACTACACAATCCAAGAGTCACAAATATATCGAATAAAAGGTTAATAAAATAAGGTTTATGGATCCAAGTTTTAGATTTATAATAGTCATATATTATAGACAATATGTGACTACTTTGACCGGTTTACTTGAAGTATCTTCACTTTTATACAAAACTGGACATATAAGTAAATTATATAATATTGAATTAAACAGTACAGATTATATTAAATTATGTCAATTTGTGGTAAAAAGAATTGCTTATTTTGTAATTCAAAATAAAAATTGTGGTGTAATTTAATATAAAAATTGAAAAAATAATGGCAAAAAGTTGCTAAAGTTTTTGATTCGCCTTTTGCCTTTGGTAAGCAAAATTTTAATAAAGAATGTGCATATGAGAATGCATAATTACTTCTTTGTTTGAAATTTAGGTTTCGAGTCCATGTGAGCTGAATACCACAATACTTCATTAAATGTTTTTTGGGTCAATTTTTCAGACAGACATTAAATGCAGTATTTTTTTGCTTTGCTTAATTTTTGGTTCAGTACTGCACCGACACAGTAAATGCAAGCGAAACACTGCAAAAAATGTACGTACGCCTACATATGGAAACTTGGCTACTTGACTATTAAACTTAATTGGCACTTTTGACATATGAAATTATAGGTCACAAGTTGTGGACTTAACTGGTAGGTTTATGTATGGAAATTTGTTTAAATTATAAGAATTTTTTTATTTAATTTTTAGACAACAAAGTGTGATACATCATTGTTATTATAAAAATTAAAAACTTGAAATTTTTAGTTCAGTATTTTTGTTCGCCACTACTTACATTTTTATCAACCGCAATATCCACAACTGATTGTAAAGCTTGACAGTTGCCCTCTTCTTGTATGGCCCAGCAGGGATAGGGTGAAATTTTGGTCAAGCATTGTCCCTTCTTCAGGCTGACTCTACCCAAAGTAAAGGGTACACCTTGTTTATAGCGTGGCACAGCTACGAAAGCTGAATCCTTCAGTAATTGTGCCCGTGTCACAATCACATTACGCGGCACATAGCGCCCGGATTGCACGAATATATTTTTAGTAGAATCACAAGGCCAGCGTAAATTACTGCCACTCAACTGGAATGTCAAATCCACCAAAGGATTCTTGTCACATTTGCTTATCTTTTGCTCCGACACGTAAGCGCCGAAGTTGTGGTTCGCATGCAGCAAAATGCATATAACAATTAAAAACCGATACATTTTTATTAACACTTTTAATAATGATCTTATTAGCTTTATTATTATATATATATTTTGAAAATATTTTTAAATATATTCAGTATAATCGTGCACACTTTATCTGTTGATACCGCAAAATGGCTTTGAAAGTTTTTGCATTTCTATTTATAAGATTTGATTTTTTGCTCCAGCGACTTCTGTTTCAGCAGCTTTTTATTCTTTAATTTTTTATAATTCTTTGTAATTTTAATTTTTATCTTCATTTAGGCACATACGAGATTTTCACATATTCACTTCAAAATCACGCATCTTCGGAGTTAACAAATTTGTGCATTTTTTGATGTAATTCGACACTAGTTTTGCAGTCACAACATTGAAGTAAAGTAAGGTCGAGCGCACAACTTATCCGGTTCTAGTCTCAGTCATTTCCTGATTGTCCGACGGTATAAATTGAAACCTATGGCATTGTTATTAGATTTATGGACACTCTGTAATTGTATCCGATGAATAATAAACAGAAACAAAAATCTGTTATCGCAGATCTAAGTCGAATGAAGTTTCCTATTCTTTAGCTATAACAAAAGTACAAGCTAATAACTCTATTAAGTAATATTAAAACACATAAACATATGTATTTATAACTATTAGCTATTATTATTTGTATCTTAACATCTTACTCAATATATCTAGAACCTTAACGTTTTTTACTATAAGAGTGATCTTGCACGGCAAACACATTCTTTCCATGATATGCGCCATTTTTTTTGTTAGTGTTAAAGACTATGAGTAACGCGTTTTTCGGTGATGAACTTGAGAATGCTTGATTGAGAATGTTCTTGAACTAATAGTATTGAATCTAGTCAAGGTCAAATTTAATATATTTTTTAGATATTATTTAAATTTTTTGAAGACATTTTGCAGTATTTAGCAATAAAGTTTCATAAACCTATTGTTCAAGTTATCAAAGTGTTTATTGCAATTAGGTTTAATGGTTTAATATTGTATTTGTATATTAAAATCGAGACTACTTTGTATATATTTCACCTGGGTCTGGTATCAACATCGCATCCGTGCTTTGTCTTTGATAGATTTGATTTTCTAAATGGTAAGCCTTTTTAATTCAAATCAACACTTTATTCTTCATTTAAACTGTCTTTATGCTCTATCAAATGCATAATAAACTTGTTCACCATTTTTTGGTCTATGTAGGTCCATGAACTTAGACAAGACGAGATATATGGGGCGATGCTTTATCCTGTAAGCGTTGTCAAAGTTATAATTTATAATGTTAATAAGCCGTATGGTGATGGGTCTTTGAACGCAGTAGACCAATGGTATGCGTATGTGCGAGTAGTCTGAGGCAGAAATAAAAATAGTGTATCGCTCATTAAGATTATATAAAATTTTTTTAGAGTTCCTAATTGTTCCTACTCCATTTTGTGATAATATCGTTATATGAATGGGTTACAGCGTTAAATATTTAACAAAATCGTCTTCAGTTATGGGTGCTGATAATTACTATATTTGAAGAAGGAAAATGTTGAGACTTATGTGTACTTTTTTTAACGTTCGAATAATGAAAATTGAAAATGTTACACTATTCATTACTATATTGTTATACATTTTATTAAATAAATAAATAAATAAGAGTTACGGATATAAATAGATATATTAGAATCCTGACATATCTTTTAGGTTTAAAATATACTTAAAACCAAATAACAGGCATTAAGTTGTCGATTTGTTATTGCGTGTGGCAAGAACACTTCTCAAAGTACCCTTCCCCCTCGTCAGAATAAAACTGGATAGATATAAATATTGTGGTATAAAATGTCTTTTTCTGATTCTCTGAAATGTTTTTCTCTGAATAATAGAGAATAACCGATGTCAATTAGTTATTTAAGACAGGCTCAGTCTTTGAAAATTTGAGCTCAGACTACATCAGTTATTAATAGTATCTGATTGCTTCGTCTTCCTTGCGCTGGATAGGTGTTTGTTCAATATAATGAACCAGTTTCATAGCAATATGTATTTTGAAGTTAGAACAGTTTTATAAAATTTAAGAAACTATGAGTTTATACCGTAGTTTTTATAAAAGTATAAATAATGTATAAGACGCTTATTAGGCCGATTGATTCTTCAGTTTAAAATTTCCAAATAATATTATTTGAAAAACTCCATCTATTCCATTACAGAATATGATTAATAATATTTGCATTAGGATCGAAAAATAGATTCTAGTTATTCTGGCATATTCTATTCTAGATATTTAAAGGGTTTTTGACACTGCCAAAAGCATCAAAAAAATCATTAGTGTTAGATATTAGAAATGCAAAACAATACATTTTCATAATAAAGCATTTTAAGAAAATGTTACTTCCAGTAGAAATAAATGAAATTTTATGTTTTAATGATAAGAAGAAGGCGATAACCTGCATTTCGAACTGATGAATTTGAGGTTGCAATAAACGATGAAAACAGAAAAGTGATGGGTTGGGTTAGAAAAAGAAACTGAAACCCAATTTAAAATGGAATTGTGCAACGTTAAGCAATAACACGAATATTTTAAAATAATACAAAATTTTCGATATTTGAAAATGATGTCAATAATTTTGATGTCGTGTTTATTTCATGACAAGTGTATTTCATGTTGGCCTCATAATGAAAAATGACTTTCTTGAATAATTTTATAGATGCAAACGGCATATAAGACACATAAATATCTTAGCATCTTACTTTCATGGAATGTCGAATCACTAATTAATCACTATTAATATGTGATGTAGTCAGAAATGGAAAATCTTTTAGTAAAGTAAAAGAGTATTGGCATTTTCAACGAAATTAAATAATATATGTAGTGTTCTTTGGTTTAACTAAATTACTTTTCATAAAAAGTTTTTTACAAAAAGTAATGAACTATAACAACAAAAATTCTATTTTATATTATTTTAATTAATTAATTTTTTGGCTGACCAGCTGCTTCGAGTATTGCCAAATACCCATCATCTGTGGTCTTGGAAATAATTCTTGTATTTAATTATTCGTAAATAATCTTTTTAAGACTGCAAGTACCAGTGATTGAGCTCGTGCCCTACCAAATTTGAAGCTCAGAGTCAGCGCTACTTAACTAACTGACCCAAAGGCGTACTTGACTTTTTTATGTTCGCACATTTTTCTGGAGTTTTGTTAATTTGCTATGAAAGTTTTATTAACAAATTCACTTCCTATATTTATATAAGAAGGAAATCATAAACCAGCTGTAGAATAATTAAATTAATTAATTATATTTTTATATTTTTAATTATTAAATTTCAATACTATTCTGTTTGTAGAGGCATCATTTATTGCATGATTTATATATTCTTTCTTACGGATAGAATCTAATCTAGGAACGTAATACTGAGACCAATATTTTCTATTAAATATAATAATGACATCCGTCTGAAAAATTGACGTTAAATTACAAATTAATTTTCTCAATCTTTATTAGAATTTACAATCAGTCAAGTGCATAATTCAGTATTTACACTGAATAGTGTTTGGCGAGATATTTATGTTCGAATGCAAGTACTTATTATTTTCGAATTATATAGCACACAATTTTTTTTGTGATAATATTTTAACAATTTAACTAAATTAATTTTAAATTTGTATTTTTTCTATATTTAGTTTTTTTCTTAATATAAAATTTCTTTCGTTGTTCGCTAATTGCATTGCGATAGTGTAAACACTTGTCAATTTCTATCTAATTGATGTCAGCTATTAATCAAATACAAACATAGTATTACGGGTATATAAAACATATAAAGTTTTTATATATTTAGTTATGTATATGACACAAACAACTATTAGTTTGTAAATATAATTTATTACTTACTCTAAAGTTCATTTAATTCTAACTCGGATTGACCAATTTACCGGAGTCACCCACTGAAGTCACGTCCTTGTTGCTGTAAAGTTCATATTGCAAAGGATGTCAATGCAAAGTTTCACTGCATCGCACCAAAATTGTATATAAATTTAGTGAAAATAAATCGAATTTAGTTTTCAAATTTATTTTATCAAGACATTATTTATTGATGTCAATGTTGATCAATGTTTCGGGCTTGTTATTTGGCGTCAAATGCAATTTATTTTCTTTAATTTCCGTTTATGTAAATTGGATTGGAAAAGAAATGAGTTTGTTGTTCAAAATATTTTGAACTATTTAACATTTGATGAGTTGCTTAAAGTACTTACTTAGATACACAAAATAATATTTGCATACTTCTACACCTTATATACCATATATGGAAAGCAAATGGAAGAAGTCAATTTGTAAAGCATAGAAGTTATTTATCACTATGATAAACAAATGGAAAATCAAAAAATTTGCTTAAAGGAGCAATATTTTCTAAGTATTTTATCTGTTTCTGTTTAAGGCTATAATAAATAAAAAATTCTCAATATAGCTTACTAAAGTCATGTATTCAAATTATTACTTTGCATATGAATTCCTTTCCTAATTTGTATGCATATCAATTTGTAAGTAAACCTCTTTCACACCACCCGCGCAAGCACTCAACTTAGCTTACATATGTATGTTTACTTCAGAACATGAACAAAATAAAAAGTACCAGCTAACAGCACTAAATAAACTAAAAACAATTTTAAAAAATTAAATAAAAATTTATAAACGTTCGTTTTGGTGTGGTAATGCTGAATGTGTATAAATTTGAGGACATTTAAATATTTATTTTTATTTATTATATTTACTGAAATAAACTTAAATGTCACAAAATAATTTAAGCAAAATTAAATTAAACTGCGGTAATGTTACAATATGGAAATGAAAAATCACAAATTGACGGAGGCTTATTTGTGGTATTTTGTGCTTTGGTCAGCAATAAAAATCACAACCGGAAGTTATTCGACAGGACTTTAGGCAAGAAATGCCAAAAGTCCATTGTTAAAAATATAAATATACAGGGATATCCATGCAAACAAACTATTATTATTTCTTTAATTAAAAGCGTAATTGT